TTATATCTTGGATCAAGAACCAAGCCAAGAAACATCATGTGATTCATTTTCTCGACATTTCCCCAATACTTATCAAACTTCTTATTCATCATCGTTGCCATTTTATTCAAGAGAGGATCATCACACTCCTCTAACTTAATCAACTCTCGTTTAACAGCACAAATATCTTTGAAATAGAAGTTTGAAGTGACATAATATGAACCACTAAACTTCTTCGTCAAAGTGTAAAACTTTCCTAGGAACCTCAGAAAAACCTTTGCATTGTCCCAATCTGTCTCATTTGGTGGACCCTCTATCTTTTTGTCTTTTATGATTTCCTCAAAGTAAGCACAATAGGTTTGCTCCAAAAACAGGGATAAACTTGAAAGAAGTCTCTAACATTAAGTATGTAGAGTTCCACCTCATCTTCACATCCAAACACAATAGGGCAGTTGAGTTGATGTTTTCTTCCTTCATGCACTCCTTAAACTTCTTGAGGCGTTGATGTGAGAACCTCACATATCTAACTGCATTGCAGATGGAAGAAATTGATGTCGCTAAGTCCGTTAGCCCATCATTAACAATCAAGTTGAGAATGTGACAGACACACCGCATATGTAACGTCTGTCCATCTAAGACGAGAAAATTAGGGATATCTTTGAATTTTCTCTTCAACATGTCAATGGCCACATCATTCGATGATGTATTGTCTACTGTAACTGTAAACAACGCAATTATTCCCCAATCATTGAGGCAAGCTAAAATCTCCTGCGCAACTGTTTCTCCTTTATGATTCAAAACTTGAATGAAATTAATGATCCTTTTCTGCATATTCCAATCTTCATCGATCCAATAAGCTGTCAAACACATATAACTGATGTTCTGAATTGATGTCCAAGTATCAGTCGTCAAACACACTCGTTGCTTTTCCAAAACCTTCTTCAACTTCTTCCTCTCATCCAAATACATCTGGTAAACATCCCTTGCAATTGTTATCCTTGAAATGTCAAACACTCTAGGATTCAAGTACGTCGAATAGCACTTAAACCCTTTACCTTCCACGTGTCGGAACGGTAACTCATCCAATACGAATACTCCAAAACGACTCTCTTATACCCTTCCTTGGACCAAGCTCTTAGTGTCATATTACTAGTAGCAGTGTCCTCATCACATGCACCGGTCTTCTTAGTAAGTTGGATGGTCTTTTGTTTGTTTTCATTCTCTGGATTCATCAAGCAACTTTCTATATGACTCTTCATTGTAGACGTGCCATTCTTTTTTGAATCAGCAGCATAAGTGACACCACAATGCTTGCAAGTAGCCCTCTTAGTTTTGTCATCCCTCGTGAAATGCTGCCATACCGGGCTTACTTGTCGGGCTTTCTTTCTTTTCTTAGTACCTTTCCCTTCTTCGTCAGTTGTCTCTTGCGTTTCAGTAGTTTCAGTTTCTTTTTTACTAGACTGAGACTCTACCTCTTTTTGCTTTTCTGATGAAGACATCTATATAAAATTATGAATTAAATATAGTTATGATGTAATATAAAACACTAGATGCATCAGAATATATACTCGCAGCTTTCTGCTTCTCTAGGAATTAGTAGTGCACATTTTATATGGAAAGTGGCTCATCATACTATTGCCCATTTTATAACTATATTTATCTCAGTACTCTTTAATTGATCACATTTTTAAGTGGCTCATCATACTCGCATACTATTGCATATACTGTAGAAATGGAATATGCAATCGTAACAACGAAGAAATGTGTCAAGCCAAGCATTGCCTAAGTTTTGATTCACTCATTAAAGAACATTGAACTTATAATCACTCATTAAAGCTTATAACAATAAAACTATAAAGTTAAAGCAGCTTCGGGAAATATATATCAACACTTCTTAAACCAGAAAACCAAACAGAAAATAATCAAAAAATCAATAACCAGTAGTGTACGCTTACGTTTCATAACCAACAATCAAAAAATCAAAAAGGAAATCCAGTAATACTTAATATATTGAAATATAACCCCGCCATTGTCCACCAGTACTGTACGCCTATGTTTCATAGGCGTGAGATCAAAGCTATTGAAATATAACCCCACGTCCCCATCATTGTCCACCAGTAGTAAATCCAGTCCAACCCCAAACAAATTCTCAAGGTTAACACTAACATAAACATTACCACTAGCCCCACCATTGGCCAATATGTTATCGGGTATACATAATTTCATATGAGTACATAATCAAAAAAATTTACAATGGAAAGGATAATATAAAACAAGGCGAAAAGGAAATGGGTTCACGAGATAGAGAGACCAAAAACCTAAGTCACAATCCAAAGAAAAAAAAGAACTATACATCAAATCATCAATTATAGGTGGAAGTAATCATACCGACAATTAGCAACATGGAAATATAGAGAATAGAAGCTTACCATGGTTGATTATAGAAATCTAGCATCTCCTCTCCAGCAACAAGCTTTAATTCTTTACTCTGCCGGAGACTGACTAAAACCAAGAAAGAAAGCCCGCGACAGGAGATAGATTTTGTGAGAGACGAGATTGTGAGCTGAGAGACGATAGAAGCAATCAAGTTATTAACGTATTTGGCTAGGGTTTTTTTTTTGCCCCAAATATGAGAGAGTGAGATAGAGTTAGAGAGAGTCAGAGAGATTGTGAAAGATGATGAGGGTCAGTAAATGAGATGAGAGAAGAATGAGAGACTGAAGTGAAAAAACGGTGAGAAATGTAAAATGACATTATTAAAATTTTTTTACAAAATTAGTACGGTCGATTCGGTTTATAACCGAATCTTAAAACCGAATCTTAAAAGGCTCAACCGAAACTGAACCGTAATGGAGGAGTCCGGTTCGATTAACCGAACCGACTTTGTCAGTTCCACGTGGCGCCTTATTTTTCAGTTTTAGAGCGGTCGGTTTTTCGGTCGGTGCGCGGTCGGTTTCAGTTTTACGGTTTTTTTGTACAGCCCTATATTCGAGTAACCATTAAAATCACGAATTTTATTTTCATTTTTTATATTTCCTTTGGGAGTGATTGCAAGGAAGGAGGTGAGCGTTATTATTTTGTAATGCCGGTTGTTGGGGGATTATTGAAGGTTTTCATAATTGATTAGCTATATTGAAAGCGCTATCCTATTATTGGATTTCCTATGAAAACGAAATTAAATTGAAACTATTGCTAAAGATAGCAACATATAAAAGTCAACTTTCCCTAGTACATATAACATAAATACAATTAAATTCAAACCATTAAAAAATAACTATATGAAAAGTTAAACTTTTCCTATAGGTATGATACAGAATTATATGGTAATTATATAAATGAATTTAATTTTTACTACTAGTCAATTATTCTAAACTCTTTTTTTTTTTAGTTGCAATGTGACTAGTAACATTTTGCTATATGTCTAACTTTCCATACTTTTCTGGTCCTTTTATATGAATGTCCGCTAAATTTGACAAGTTCAATCTGCATGTACAGTAGAAAGAGGAAAAGAAGAGAAAAATTTTATTCTACAACTTTTTTCGATTGATCGGTCTCTTCAAAAATTCGTGTGTAGTTTTAAGATTTTAGGCATCACCGTTTATGCAAAACTATAATTTATTTGCATAGTTAAAGAATCCCTAACATATTTCATTAATTTCTTCTTTTTTTTTCCTCTTTGGTGCATATTTGTGTCATGAGTAAGAGGCCTAAGTAAGCTATAAGTATTTGTTAAGCTATAAACCTAACCATGCAGAAGGTCCTTTCAATACTTTTTTTTTTTTTTTTTTTTAAATTTTGTTAATAAAATTAATCATTCCTTCGAAAAATAAAATAAAATAAATCCAAACATAACTCTAAAGGAAACAAAAGTTTTTTTAGTCCATTTATTCGTCTGTACCAATTTCATGTTAAAATTTAGCTCAAACTTTTAGTTATAAGTTGAGCTTTTCTTAGGTTTCTAAAACATATTTTACTATTCAAAACTCAACCCAAAGATTCCCACAAACCATTTTTACTCACATCTCCCGTTTGGTTCATTAGTTTGAATTTTGTTAATTTGAATTTTTTTGTTTGAACATTGCGGTTTAAATTGTAGTTTGAATTGGCGTTTGAATATGCAGTTAAAATTTTAATCTGAACATGAAATAAAATTCGAATTAGTGTTTGGTAGGTGTGAAAAGCAAAAAGAGTGGACATCTTTTTACTATTCAAAAATGGCTTAAATGGTTGAACTTACGGGGAGAGCTAAACTCTAAGTTTGACAGTTTAGCTCAATTCAAATGGAAAATATAATCCGGACTGCGTGCTTACTAAATACGAGTTCAAACGGTGCTCACTATTCGAACTGAGTTGAACTAAGTTAAACCAGTAAAACAAACGAGGGCAAAACACTCATAATTTTAATAATGTAACAAAAGTCTGATTCAAACTTTATTTTCTATCTAGACGTCACACTATTAAACGCTAATTCAAATTATAAAAAATTCACATATAAGTTTAGACTCACACAATTCGAACCCGCAAAACGAACATACTGTTAGAGAAATATATGTCTAACATTTGCATGCAACAACTTCTCCAAGAAAAACTAAAATTCTAAGTTCAAAATGTTTGCAATCAAACAAGAAGAGTTTAAACTGTCTTTTTTTTTCTAGCAAAAAAAATTGACTTTATTTTTCTTCTTAAAAAAACTGACTTTTTTTTCCGCTCGAAAGCAAAAAAAAAAAAAAAAAAAAAAAAAAAAAAAAAAATAGATACTTTCCTCCACCAGGGGATAATTACCCAAAGAATTGCAGCACGTGCCCATAATTTTCTCTTCCACGGGCCTGCTCCAAAAGCCCAATGAAGTCATTAGCGATTGGGTTTGAGCATCAGGATGAGCAGTTTGGCCCAATTGGTAGCCCCCGAGCCGAGTATTATGGACTAGGGAGAGAAGAAAGTAAATTTACACAATCGCCCACATAGATTAGAATATAAACATAAGTCATACATAACAAGGTCCCTTTCGTAATTCCACTTGCACGAATCGCATACCCCCCACCAAAAAAAAAAGAAAAGAAAACTTTCTTCTTCTTCAAGCGGCTTTTCTCCTTCCAAAACTTCTGTAAAACTCCCTACTTTTTACCCAGAGTTTTTCATAATTACAGAGAAAAATCTAACAAATACACTGCAAATTGAAATTATTTTTCGGAGCTCTAATATATACACACTCGCATATATATATATATATATATATACATATAATATATATATGTAAAGAGGGAATCTTTGTAAGAGAGAGAAAGTATCGGAATGGGGGGTTCATCGGAGACGAAGTTTTTGCAAGAACTGATTCTGTACGCGGCGAGCGCGGCGCTGAGTTGCTTGGTGCTGTTCGCGGGGCTCCGGCATCTCGACCCGAACCGCGAGGCCTCAAAGAAAGCTTTGGAGCACAAGAAGGAGATTTCCAAGCGCTTGGGTCGCCCTCTTGTTCAGACCAATCCTTACGAGGTTATTCAATTGATTCCTCATTTCCTTCGAATAATTTTCCTTTCGCTATTGTTTTTCGATTTGATGTCGTATTGATTGTTGAAGCGATCGAATTTTAGCGTTTTAGGGTAGGTTAGAGAGATAGTTACTATGTCGGTTCGGCGAAGTAAAGCTTTTTTCTTGAATTTCTGAATTTCAATTGGGGCTTTGATTGGGAAGGTTTTGATTTTGGATAATTTGTGGTGGAACATAGGTTGGAGTTTAGACCTTTTGCTGGCCTCTAATGAATATGAAACATGGCTTTGTGCTATTAATGTTTTCGTTCTTTTTATTTTTAGCCCGAAAAAAGGGTTAAACTTTTGAGATTTCTTTGTGGGATTTAGAAAGGAATTTTGCTTAATTTAACTTTTTTTGCTCATGACTTAATTTAATTACAATCTCCTGTTGAGTGTTTAAATACTGAATTTGGACCGGCACGCAGTTTTCTATTTGATTTTAAGCTCGTACTTTACCAAACAAGAAAGAGGATAGATTGCTGTTAGTGTTTTCGAGGTGCTTGAGGTTGCAGTTTTTCATTTCCTTACTTTTTTCCCCCTTCACGCTAAACTGCCTGTTCACATTGTTTGTTAGATTATTGCTCTATCCTTAGAAATTCACTTGTCATACTGTCCCCAAGATAAACATTCTTCACTGGTTTTTCCTGTCTCTCAGAAGTTGTTAAATGTCAATTAAACCACCCTAGATAAACTGATATGGCAGTGTCACGTGAGAAGGGTGCTGGAACATTCTACATGAGATGTTTTATTTGTTGGTATAAAGATTGGAGAAAATAATGCTCAGAACAGTTTCCGAGTTATTACGTGTTTAATTTAGCTTTTTGTATCGCTGACAGGATGTTATAGCCTGTGATGTTATAAACCCGGATCACATCGATGTGGAATTTGAATCAATTGGAGGATTAGAAGCGATCAAGCAAGCTTTGTATGAACTGGTGATTCTTCCGCTACGGAGGCCTGATCTGTTTTCGCATGGAAAGCTTCTTGGTCCACAAAAAGGGGTATTGTTGTATGGACCACCTGGTACCGGAAAGACCATGCTTGCAAAAGCTATTGCAAAAGAGTCTGGAGCTGTTTTTATTAATGTGAGAATATCGAATCTTATGAGTAAATGGTTTGGTGACGCACAAAAACTTGGTGAGTGTTGATCTTGTTATAAGTTCTTTCTTTTATTGGAATCATTCTGTTAACAAAAAGCAAGACGAAATAGCTTCCCGACTATTTAGCGGTATGGATTTTGTACTAAGATAGTGAAAGCTATGTGGAAAAAGAGAAGTTCCTTTTCTTTTGTTTGTTTTTTTCCTTTGGGAGCATGAAGTTAAATTTGTTATATACATCTTATTAGGTCTACATTGTGGGAATTCACATATAGTTTGAAACAATTTTGCAGTTGCCGCTGTTTTTAGCCTGGCTTACAAACTCCAGCCTGCTATCATCTTCATCGATGAAGTAGACAGCTTTTTGGGTCAGCGCCGTAATACTGATCATGAAGCAATGACAAACATGAAGACCGAGTTCATGGCTTTATGGGATGGCTTTACAACTGATCGTGAGTTTCTTTTTCTTCTTATTCATAGTGACTTGTGTTTCTCTTTCGTCTATGAATTCGCAGTTAGAAGTAGGTTCTATCAGATAACTGTCCTTCAAGTTGTGTCTAGCACAAAAAATAATAATATTAAAGAACGCTATCCTTGAAGTTGTAGTATCTCTAATTTAAGATACTTTGGTAAATATTGTTGTCAAAACAATTTCCTATTTGGTACAGAGAATGCTCAAGTTATGGTTCTTGCTGCTACCAATCGTCCCTCAGAACTTGATGAAGCAATACTCCGCCGTCTTCCTCAGGCCTTTGAGATTGGAATACCTGACCGTAGGGAGAGGGCTGCAATACTGAAGGTGATTCTGAAGGGTGAGAAGGTCGAAGACAACATTGATTATGACTATGTGGCTAGCTTGTGCGAGGGTTATACAGGTTCAGATCTACTTGAACTTTGCAAGAAAGCAGCTTATTTTCCCATCAGAGACCTACTAGATGCGGAGAAAGCTGGAAAACGAGCTTCTGTGAGTATACAAGTCACTTTGTCTACCATTTTCTTCTTTCTGACGTCACTTTTGCCCTCATCCTTAACCTAATACGAAGCATGTTGCAAATTTTGAACAAAAGAAAAAGGTTTTTCATGGATTATTCATGTTGCAAATACACGTGCTTGCATTTTTAAATAAGGTAGTTATACATTTGATCCTTGAAGTCATCTTATCATATCTTAGAAGATGTTTCCTTAAGAGTAGACAGGAAATTGGGCATTATACGCTTTAGCAAACATACTGGCTTGTTTTGTATATGGGTTCAAATCAGTAATTTTGATTATGACTTTTAAAACTCAAATTTTTTTTTTTTTTTTAGAAAAATATTGTAATAGAATTAAAATCATGGGTTTGAACTTATGAAGAACCCATATACCATTCATACCCATAGTCTTGAATATGAGATTCTGAAGTAACTCATTGCCATTCTCTGCTTCCTCTTTTAGGCGCCAAGGCCTCTTTCCCAGACAGATTTAGGGAAAGTTCTCGCCACATCAAGAAAGACAAAGGTTGCTGCAAGCGAATACAGTGGATTAAGCTCGCAATCATCCGGGTGGTCCAGGAGTGCAGATTCGGGCGATTATCCCGTTCAAGCTGCAATAAACGAGCTCTCCAAGCTTGTGGTTTCCCATGTCTTGAATCTTCAATCAGATAACCAAGACCCATAAAACCATGACTCCAGCTTCTGTGGACGATGCGTTATTTGTGGTTTTGACATTGTTGTAATTGTAGTTTACTACAGTTGTAACTCCTTTAGTTAGGTAATTTTCTTTTAGACTTGCTATGCACCCTCATTATCTATCTATTCATGCGGCTTTTGGGAGGATTCCTCTCATTATTTCACTTTGTTTCCTTTTTTTTGTACATATTGTGTCATGAGTGGGGTTCTGCAGGGATTTTGTGAGTTCACATCACATGGTCAGCAATTTGCTTTCTGCTTGCAGCAACCCCAATGATTAAAACCATCTAAGAAATAGCTGGCAATGGAGTAAGCTGGTTTGATTGAAGGGATCTTTAATTGCTGGGACTTTATCAAAAGCTGGCCAATAAAGTGAGCTTGTTATGGCCTTTTAAAATTTGCAGCTTCTTCTGTACAATATAAGCAGGACCACGTGCTTATTATTATTAAGCAAAGAACGGTTTTGGTGAAAGGATAGAAAGGTGTAAGATTCGATCATTTTACTGTTTTAAATTTAGAATTTAAATTTTATTAGAGTAAAAAAATTTTAAAAATAATAATATTTAAATTTTTTATTATAATAAAAAATTTTTACATAAAATTACGTATCAATTCGAATCAACAAATTAAATTAGTCCTAAAGATATGAATACACAATAGCATCCAAACATGTTTGACGTCTTTTCAGCAATGAAAAAGATAAATGACAAAAAAAAAAAAAAAAGGGATACTTGAAGATTGGCGACAAATACCACTTCCAGCTCAACCTGCTTTGTGCATTTATTTGTTTTCAGTAGACGACAGTAAAGGAGAAATATCCAACAGAAGATATGTTAAACTCAAGCCATAGATTCTTATGAACATTGTAACCACCACGGGAAAAAAATAATTATATGTGCCATTGAACTGCTAAGGAATTTTGTACTTTTTTGTGCTACCGAAACAATCAAATCTATATAATATGGGATTGTGGGTACTTGTCATAGAACACTTGCGGATACATTCTACATCTATCAATTCCTGTCACACAACAGTTTGTGGATGCAGTTTAAATTGTAATTATCAATTGGTTATGTTCTCTTGCTGAATATGAGGCGCTAAATTTAGTCCATCGCAGCCCACAAACTAATTCTTGGGAGAAAAGGATCCTTTTAGATTTGTATTACTCTGGGGCTGTTCTTTTGTAGTTTTTGAGTTAGGTGATTTAAGTGTAGATTTTAAGTTAAGTTTGAGTTATAACTTGAGTTAAAGTTGTAACTTGAGTTTGTATTTAGTTGTATACATTTAAATTATAGTTTGAGATAAGAATCTTTTTGAGTTTGTGTTTGAATGAGTCAAAACTTGAATGTATAGTTAGGGGATGTTTGGTTGGAGGATTCAAACGATGATTTGAATCATGGTTCATAGTTCGCTATAATATTTTTTCTGATAAAAAATACACGTAAATCGAAAATAGCTCTAATCCATGAACCAAACGTCTTCTTATATAGTATTTTAATAAAAACTCAATGCTGATGAAAAATTTTAATAGGGTATATTGGTGGGGTTTTATTCGTCTTTTCGTTGTCAACTTATAGAAAAAAAATCATCTCAATCAGAATTAAAACGAAAAAGTTATATCATTTTTAAGAATAGAAAAAATATTGTTCATTAATTTGAGTTCAAGTTTCTGAACTCGAGTTCAAACTTAAAAGAACATGAACTTGAATAAAGTTGTAACTCGAGTTACTTTTTTGAGTTTTTAACTCAAAAAAGAGGCTGCCAAACAGCCCCTCTATTTTTGTCTGATTGTAATCTTAGAACTTATAAGAAAAAGAGAAAAAAAAAAGCTTTTTTCAGTAGGTTAATACTAATTTTTAACTGTTAGATTTTATTAAAATCACATTAAATTAAAAAAAATATGCAAAATAAATAATTTTTAATACAAATATGACAGTTAAAAAATAGAATCGTAGACGATGAACTTCTTAAAAAAAGGAATACATATATATATATATATATGTGTGTGTGATAGGCACATTTTTTTTTTGGTTTTTTTTTTTTTTTTTTGCAGTTTATTCTTGACAACCGATTTCTAAGGTGCATGTTTGCTTAGGCCGTGGGAATTTTATGAAAAGTCTAATATAGTGAGCTAACAATTGACGTCTTTGTTCACAGGTGCGTCCATGGATTCCTATATTATATTATGGTAAACAGGAGATAATAGAACTGTGGAAAACTTTAGTTTACTTGTTCAAAGTAAGTAGCTTTGTTTATGGGTTAAAAAGAAAAAAAAGGAAAAAGACAACGTTATAGCTTTCAACGTGAAGTTATTATTGAACTTCTGTTTCCTCCCTTTTAATCATTTCTTACCTTTTTCGTCCCACTTTGTCCGTTTTATCGCTCTGTGTCGTGCCTTTTACCATGGAGAGACTGATATGAGATTTCACTTGTAAAGAAAGAAGCCTTTGGATCGACCGTTTTATTTTTCATAATTTATCTCCTGGCAATAGATTCTTCTTCCATGTCTAAATTCAAGAAAGGCTGCATAGAAGCGCCAACTAAAAACTTTGTTGAGGGACCTGAGGGTTAGGCTAGGATATATGATCGTTCGAGTTAAAAACGCACTTGAAAAGGGACCCAAAAAAAAAAAAATTAAGGATTTGCAGATAATAAAAATTAAAAAAAAAAACAAAAATATTATTGAAGAATTTTCACTTTTGGTCCCTAAGAACAGGTCTCATATTCCCACCTTACATCATTTTCCTTAATTTTATAAAAAAAAATAATAATAATCAAATTCAAAGGCACGTGATCATTGCCCGAACATTTCAAAATGTGAAGTAATGCAAAACTATCCAGATTGACACAAATTACGCACTAGATGGTAATAAACAATTCGCACAAATTCAGCGCCGTTTGTCCAAAAATCAAAGCCAATCCATGCAGTCAATAAATATAAAGTAACAATGAAAAAAAATATAATATAATAATACCCACATGAAAACATTATTATTCATCATATAATTATTCAATCAACAATCCATTCGACTATTTCGTGGCAATGGTCCATAGTCATTGGTCATACATTTACAACCAAACCATACCAAGACATATATTTTTCTCTTTCCACACGCACACACTCGTTTATTTTTGACCTTATTTAATATGCCGGGTTGAGCCATCCCCAAAATCGCTTTCCCCCACAATAACCAACCACCATAAATTGACGCCATTTTTTCTTCTCAATCCCCAAACCCCAATTTTTTATTTTTATTTTTTCTTTCTTGGGGCTCACCGGAAAAAACCATCATAGAATTAGAACAGCCCAAAAGAGTCCCCATAATGTTCGTTTCTTACTTGTTCATCGTCATAGCTTTGTTTTTGGTTTCTAGATTCTTGTACAAGACAAACGTGGTTTTGATTCTAGTAAGGTCATGGCAATCATTCGTCGAGCGGCTTCACGTGTACCAACTGTACAAAGTCCCACAGTACAACGAGCATTTCCAAGAGAACCAACTGTACCGAAAGATTTCCACGTACCTGAACTCTCTTCCTTCCGTTGAAGATTCCGATTACACGAACCTCTTCTCCGGTTCCAAATCCAACGATATCTTCTCCCACTTGGACACCAGCCAATCGATTCGCGACACGTTCCTCAACGCCGGGGTTTGGTGGACCAATCAGAAGACGGAACCGGACGGAGTCCGATCCTTTGTTCTCAGAATCAAGAAGAGTGACAAGAGGAGAGTCTTCCGGCAGTACTTCCAGCACATCCTCTCCGTCTCCGACGAGATTGAGCAGCGGAAGAAGGAGATTAAGCTTCACATATTAGGCTTCTCCGGCGGCGCCGGAAACGAGCGGTGGAGATCGATTCCGTTCACGCATCCGGCGAGCTTCGAAACCGTCGTCCTCGATTCCGACCTGAAGAGCAAAATCAAATCCGATCTCGAGCTTTTCCTCAAATCGAAGCAGTACTACCACAGGCTCGGCCGCGTGTGGAAGCGGAGCTACCTGCTCTACGGCCCTTCCGGCACCGGCAAAACGAGCGTCGTCGCCGCCATGGCGAGGCTCCTCTCCTACGACGTCTACGACCTCGACATCGCTAGGGTTTCCGACGACTCCGATTTGAAGATGCTCCTTCTACAGACCGCGCCGAAATCGCTCATCGTCGTCGAGGATCTCGACCGCTTCTTGACCGGAAATTTCTCCTCCTCCTCCGCCGTGAGCTTCGTTGGATTGTTGAACTTCATGGACGGGATCGTCTCCTGCTGCGGAGAGGAACGGGTGTTGGTATTCACGATGAACGGCAAGGATCAAATTGATCAAGCGGTGATGAGACCGGGAAGAATTGACGTTCACGTGAACTTCCCTCTCTGCGATTTCTCCGCTTTCAAGAGCTTGGCCAACAATTACTTAGGGCTTAAGGAACACAAGCTTTTCCCTCAGGTTGAGGAGATTTTCCAGACCGGGGCGAGCCTGAGCCCGGCCGAGATCGGCGAGATAATGATCTCGAACCGGACGTCGCCGAGCCGGGCTCTGAAGTCGGTCATCTCGGCGCTGCAAACCAGCGCCGGAGAAGGCAGGAAGCTGCCGCCGCGGTTAAGTAAGAGTGGTTCGGACCGGTCCGGAGACGAGTCGGGTGAACCTGGGGGCATGCTTTGCCGGGAGAGTATCCACACCGTGAGAGAGTTTCGGAAGCTTTATGGGCTTTTTCGGTTGGGCAGTAGAAGAAAAGAGGACTCCTTGGTGGACTTGGGCCCGTCCGATAAGGAAGGCCCACGCCACGACGGACAACCAATATAGAGAAAACTTATATATATATGTATATTACAAAGATTAACGTAATTGTTTTCATTCAATAATTTAGATAAGTTTCATTAGATATTCATTTTTATGTAATTAATTTTAAGATTTTTTTCATAAATTATGTTCAGGACTTAACCCTTCGTTAGAGCTTTTTTTTTTTTTTTCAGTCATTTACTTACAATGTAGAATAACCTCATGACTTGTGATGAAGCGGTTAACGTTTGATTGGTTAATTATATCATTATTGGTTTGTAAAATTATTTCAAATTATTCTGGGTAAAAGAGTCCCATTTTCTAAAAATAAAAAAGAAGGAAAAAGAGTACCATGGGCTAAGGTAAGGTGTCAAAATTTAACGTGTATTTATTTTGTTGTTTTGATGCTTTCGCCATGTGTATTATAATAAAACTAATCTTCTGATGCTTTTTTTTTTTTTTTGTTTTTGTTTTTGTTTTTGTTTGCTAATCTTTCTGATGCTTTTGTTGTTCATTGACAATTAGATACTTTTGTTGTTCATTGACAATTGTTGTGCATAAAATTTAACGAGTATTTACTTTTTGAATATGACAAATGATGACATTCACTCTACTAAGTGTCAATTTCTTTTGATTGAAAGTTATTAGTACCAATTTGGCAGCTCGTTGGCCAGTCTCAAATTTTAATAATGCATTTAGTTAGTGTATTCGTATCATGATTTGAATTGTGATTCGTAATTTGCTATAATATTTTTATTTAAAAAAATAAACATAAATTAAGAATAATTTTAAATTATAATTCTGAATTTATAAACTAAACGTATATTAAATTAAAGACTGTTATGTAACATTATTGTTAAATAAACAAATAGCTTCTAGATACATACTTTACCTCTAATTCTAAATTTTGACTGTAATTTATAGAAATTAGGAAACATCAGATACACGCCAAGATGTTAAGTTCTTTTGAATATTCAAACCTAACTACGTTTATTTCAAACTTTGGAATTCCACCAGAATATTCCTTTTCTTTTTTGTCATATAGTTCGAGTGTGTTTGTGTTTCTTCTTCTTCTTCCTTTTTTTTATTATAAAAATCGTGTTGTAACTTTTTGATAGAGAAATATATAATTTCCAAGAACAAACGAAGCGATTTCGCAAATTATTCCAAAACCTAAGTCCTAACATTAAAGTACTGTGTATATCCAATGAGTCGCATTATCCAACTATGGGAAAAAATGATTAAATTTTTTTTAATCAGCTATTTTTTTTTCGTGTTTTTCATGTAAGAAAAGTTATTCTTGGACAAAATTTGATAGATTTACATGTCATGAGCTATACATAAATTTATTTAAAAAACAAAAGCTATACATAATTTAAAATATCGAAGTAATAAAACAAATACTATGCATAAATAGCAAAGTTTATATTTAAGGATTAAACGATAATTATGGAAATGTCAGGAATCATGATTTCACTAATATTAATCGGATTTAATTTATTTAAACGTTACTATGATTTTGAGATCATACTAAATTGATGGCCAAATCCTCCCTTGTTTCATATACTCTTTCTCAAGTTACACATAAAATATACATTTTCATAAAAATTCACTATATCTCTATGTAAATTAAATTATAAAAATATTTATTAAGTTCAGTGGATTCAAAAATGACTACATAAAAACATATAGTTATATCTCTATACTATCCTAGATTTTATGGTATTTATTTTAGAGCTATGTCACAAAAATTTCCTCTTGGTTTCATTTTGATCATCAGTTCATTCAAAAAGTTGATCAGAAATTTTAAAAGCATTGAGTCTAGAAATAAAAAGCAGAGTTTTAGTACAAGCACTAGTGATGGATACAATCTTTGATATGCTGTGAAAATCTTCTAACAGGATCTGAAACTTCTTTTCTACAAACTAAACTAAAAACTTAAAAACTAGAAATTGTTAGGAATAATGTCCTTAAAGCATGAGATGCAATAAGGATATTTATTATTTAATTAATAAAATAGTTTATTCATTATTTATGTGCATGTATTATTAAATACTTTATGAATATCATTGAAAATTTCACGATTATTTATGTGACCTTAAATATTGTATATAAGTGTTATATACATGAGGATAATATTTAAGGATAATAATCGAAATAATGTTCGTAACGAATTTAATTAAAGTTACAAAATCTTTAATTAAAATATTACTAATACATGTCATTTCCATTAAAAATTGAATGGTGTTATCCGCATCGCTAATATAGAAGGATATTGAATGAGTGTATTATGCATAATGAGATTGTGGAGAAGTGGGACACAAACACAATTTGATTTTCTAATAATTTCCGTTAAGTATAGAAAATTAAATTTGAGTCTACCGATGATCATATATGAAATGATCTTAATCATGAGTTATTAGTAGACTCATGTTTATGGATTAATATTTTTTATTTACTCAGTACGGATTTTGAGATTCTAAATCATATTCCTTTTATCTTGAAAACACGATGAAATGGATAGCCATGAATGCTAATATACAAGATGGAATCTATTCCTTCTTCTTTAAAGAAATAGAAAAATAATTAATTTGAGGGTTTATTTAATACTTGAGTAAGTAACGAGCTCGTATTCATAAATGTGTTTTATGAATATACTATTCATTAGAGAATTAATGATACTCAAGAATAAATATGTAATTAGAGAGATTAATGGATTTTACCTAACTCTAATTATGAATTATTTATGGAGGATTAATATATATGTAATGACTATATCGAATGGACACTTCAAGTTTTTAGAAGTAAATTATATCTATAATTTCGAGAGTGCAATTCTAAGTTTTTAATGAAATAACTTTTAGAATTAATTAATTAGTTAAAGAGTTTAATTAATTATTAATTTTATTATAGCTCAAAATTATATGTCTATGAGTCAAAATTAATTAGTCAAGTATCTTGCTAGTCCTAATGTATAAGGTCAATGAGTAATCCGTCTTATAACAACATGCCTTTCATTAGATATGATAAAAGACAATCTCTTCTCTTATGCAAGTAAGATCTCTATTAAGGAGCTCCACTCGTTGACATCCCGTCGGATTTAGGTGAGGGAACTTGCCTTACAAGCGCGATACTCGTATTCATAAAGTTCACATAAATTATATTAATATATGAAGTGTAAAGCTGTGGATTCTCACAATGCGATATTATATAAGACGCGTAATGAATCACCTAGTATCTATTTATTTTATATTTTGTGATAATATACCACCGTTATACTCTTATTAAGAATTTGGGTGTAATTCAAATGCACCTTTTTCTTATGCGATGGCATAAATTATGATAGTTTTCAATTACTTTATTCCAACACAAATTTGCAAAATGGGTGACATTGAAACCAAAATTTAAGGAAATAGAGGGCAAGTGTTGCTAATAAGTAAAAATATGAGACTGATTTCTTTTCCTTTTCTTTATTAATATATATATATATATATATCACGTGCATTGCACGAGATCACGAGTTCGGCCGTGTCAGCGTTTTAGGACTGCGGAACGACCAATCTTCGTCCCAATTCCCAACTGTCGAATGCACGGATCCAGCATCGAGAGTTTTGCTTATTCTTTCTCTGTATTTTTCCCCAATTCTTCCATTTCCACTCTAGGGTTTTCCTTCTCGGCTTTTACTCACTCACTTTCCGGTGCAGCAATCTCATCGTGATCAAGCCCAAGGTACATCAAATTCCTCGGCCTTAAACTCCAAATACTGAATTTCTGATAATCGAATTTCAACTATACTATTTTGTGTCATTTCATCAAATCTTTTTGATCCCAATTATTCCAATTTTCGTAATTCGCGTGCTCGCCCTCGCCCTTGCAAAACTCAGAAACACAAACAACAAAGGTTCCCATTACATTTACAGCAGCAGCAGCAGCAGCAAATCTTCTTCTTCGATTTCGCTGCTCTTGTCTAAGAATCTGGTAAAGTTGTCGTCTTTGATCTCGGAATAATACTTTCGGTTCACGCCCTAATTCGCACAAATGAAATCAGGAATTGAGGGTAGAGTTCTGAGTTTCATAGAAACCCCCAAGAAAGTATCGTAACCTTCGATTGCTCTCATTCTTGTCCCTGTGTTCCTGAGCTTTAAAAGGTCTCTCTCTCTCTCTGATTTTATTGAAGCTTTCGATATGTTTGTTTGGAAAATCTAACAAATTCTCTCTTTTTAGGTGTATTATGTAACCTTAATTCTTCCATATATGAATCCTTTGTAACCGTTTTCTTATAACCTTTGTGGTGGTTTTTCTGTCTGTCTAATCAATTTTGTCTTCTCTTCTGCCTGCCTATGGAAAATATATAATGCTACTTTACCTTTGAATCCTTTACTTATCTTGAAAGTTGTGTTCCAACTCTTGTTTGGTGCTGAGTGATATCTCCGATCTCCCTTGATTGGAAGTGATTCTGTATGGTTCTAGCGCAGCATTGCCTTTAATCACTAATAGGATCCTCTCGGTTTGAGTCTCATCTCATGAATTTACGAGTATTTTTTATCATCGCTTGTTCATATTTTGCTTTATTTTAAGAATTTGTTTTTGACATTAAGAATTTTGTTTTTGTAAACTTGTTTTTTCTTTGGGTAATTCAATTAGAGTATGGTACTACTTTGCATAATTTGATCGTTTTAGTATGATGTATTAATTATCTTCCCGTTACTTTAGAAAGTAGTAATTTCTACAATTTCTTTTATGTTTTCCTGACTAATTTATGTCTATACTACTTTCTAAATTTCTTTTATGTTTTCTTGACTAATTTATGTCTATACTTTAATAGTATAGTAGTATCGATATTGACCTGAATATGTTATAGATTAAGTGTTTGTATTAAGGACTATGTGAATGGTTTTTGATAATTTGTATAAATTAGGATTATTTTCCTCTTTCTTTGTTTGGTAACTAGATTTGGTTGGAGCTTCTTCCGTAATCCATATGTATTCCCACTATACGGCCTTTTTTTTTCTTGAAATATCTTTGAGTTTATCCTTGTTTATCTGGGTTTTTCTTCAGTTAGTTTCTGCACTTGTTGCATTATGCTAAGGTTTTATGCTTGTTCCTTTACCTAATTGGATTTTCCAATTGACTCACATTCTGCCACACATGTTGTTGTCTATCTGTATGTAATAACCTGTGCCATTGTCTTGTATCATAGATTCATAGTTATACTTTAGTAGATTTTCTCTCTCTGTTTTGTTACAACTTATATTATTCTCGTACATCACAGTTTTCTTTCGTCAGTGTAATATTCTTTCCTCTTGAGTTTCACTAGTCTCTAAATGTAAGAGTATAAATAGTCTCCCTCATGGGTGTTTAATAGTTCTTTCCTTAAAGTTTTACTCATATTATCTAGTTATTATGATGACAACTTCTTATTATTGTATTTAGTTCTTATCATTAAATAACAGAAAAGTTAATGATTTTCTAAATGCTACATTACTTAACTTTCCTCATAAGTCCTTAAAAAAAAAAAAAAAAAAAACTTTCCTCAGAAGTTACTCTTTCTCACCTTCATAATTTTTTAAAAGATATATTTTAATCTCTTTTTAATGTTCAATCTTATTACTATTATCCTGATTGCAAATGTCTGCTAATATAGACAATTACTTTTGAATAGTTATTAAAATTTTTTCTCTCCGTTTCATTCTCAAAAGTTTTCAAAAATTTCCCCCTTATTAGGATAACTGCATTTCATCAGTTACTTTTATATTTCAAAAGTCAATAACTACTATTATATCTTATCACAACTAGTCTTATTTTTATTATTGGTTTTTAGTGGTTTTGATTCTCTAAAAGTGTTTTGCTTTGCTATGTATTAAAAAGAGGCTGGTACGGAAGGCCTTCCTTCCTTACTCCCTCTTACATAAATAAAAAAAGGGTAATTGGCATGAATGGTCCCCAAACTTGTTAAAAGGTGACACTTTGGTCCCCAATTTTTTTTTTTTGACGAAACGAGCCCCAAACTATTAAAAATGGTGCAATGTCGTTATTTTCGTTAAATGCCGTCCAAAAATAGGGACTAAATCCTAACTTATTAAAGTCGATTGGGACTAAAAAATCACCTCATAGACGAAACGAGCCCCAAACTATTAAAAATGGTGCAATGTCGTTATTTTCGTTAAATGCCGTCCAAAAATAGGAACTAAATCCTAACTTATTAAAGTCGATTGGGACTAAAAAATCACCTCATAAAGAAGGAAGGGACCATAATGTCACTTAGGTTATTATGCCGTTACTTTTTGGACGGCATCTGACGGAAAGGACTACATTGCACCCTTTTAAATAGTTTGGGGTTCGTTTCATCAAAAAAAAAGTTTGGGGACCAAACTGTTACCTTTTAAAGAATATGGGGACCATTCGTGCAATTTACCGTAAAAATAAAATATAAATATAAAGTAAATAAAAAAATCAAAATCAACTTTGGTTGAATACGACAATCCTCTTCATACGCTGGTAATTTAATTGTGGTTTAGCATTCAACTTTGGTTGAATATAAATCCTAATATCCTTATTAATATCTTGCTTAACTCATATTCCAAAATCATTGCAATCCTATCTCAATAAAAGATAAGTTCATCCCTTTTGTTTTCTTAAAATTTCAATAATCTAGTTTTTTTTTTTCAATTTTTTTTTCAATTTTTTTATACTCTTTCATATATTTATATAATTTGTAGGTTCAAAATGGTATCTTCAATAGCTTCTTGATCTTATGATCTTTATGTCTTTATTCTTCTTCCATGCAGTTAAATAAATCTTATATGTTGTTTTCCTAACATCACATGATTTGTTCTTACTTGCAATTTGGATAGAAAAAGACATTATTTGGTTGGATTTCTTTCCACCATGAATTGTATCTTTTTGGTAGTTTCTTTCTTCTCAAAAAGACAAAAAAGGGTTGCTTTGGAATGTAAATCTTAGTTCATTGGTCATGGTAGAGTTTCCCCATTTGGGTCATTATGTGGTTGTTATAATTTGCAAAATTGGTTTGCCTTGCGAAGATGAGATTGAGACATTTAGGAGTGAGAACAGTGGAGATAATAAACAGGCCTATTAGTATTTGGTGAAAACAGAAAACAGTAAAGTGACAAGGAGAAGGAGATTTTCGTTATGGTTACACCCGAGCTTGCGGTTGTTAACCATAAGAATGAAAAAAGCTTCAATTATGTTTGTCATCTTTCATATTTATTTATGTTTGCAGGTTTGTTGCGTGAATTTTTAGGAGTTGGGTTTTCGTCACAAGCAGGATGGTAAGATCCCATAAGCAACATTTGATAGTATGATTGCTTTCTTATAATTGATTTAATTATAATAGTAATGAAGCTCTTTTTGTTTGATGATTTTCAGAATTACTTAATTGGAGCTTTCAAACCATCTTGCAACATTTCAATCACATTTTCTGACGCAAAAACTCGCAAGCAGGTAAATTAATTTTAATATGGATGTTTAAGTTTGATGTAGCTGAAAATTTAGACATCGTGTCTTTTTCCGTACACGTAGCTGACGCGGTTTATTTAGGGAAATCTTGGTGTATGATTTTTATGTTGGTGGTGTTTCTTTGTTAAAGTTCTATTGTTTGTCTTCTGTTGACATGGATTTCAACCAATTGTCCAAATTTTCATCTTTTACAGGAAATTGAAATTGATTTAGGAGTTTGGTTGTGTAACTTTTATTTATTCCTGCAGGTTCCATTCAAGAAGGAAAATGGTCAAACAGTGATGCTCCCATTATTTCAAAGTCAAGAAAACATTTCTGGCAAGGTGTGTTTTTTGATATAATTTATCTGATTGTTAGAATTTTGAAGTCACTGGAGTTAATATCTGAAGATTCATATATGACATTCTTCATTGTCAACATCATCTCTTTGGGTTTAAAGATGTTTTTATCCGGTGGTGTCATTTGTAGGTCTCTGTTGAGCCCGTTCCAGGAAAGAAGGTCGAACACAATGGTATAAAAGTTGAGCTCCTTGGTCAGATAGGTATGTTTTGCTGAAACCTTCGAATGTGGTATGTGATGACACCCCATAAAACTTGAAATTTTAATTTGTTATTTTTCCAAATTATGGTAGTCATGGAACCCTGACAATAATGAATGTGTGGGCTTTTAGGTGATTGGATTATTGTTTAAGTGCTTTTTGATGTGTTGCATCTTCATTCAATTAGTCTAGCACTCTAGCTGATGTATTCCTTTTATGGGCAAGAATAGTTTTTTCTTTCTTATTACTCAGTACTCACTATTTCTATCTGTTTCTTTCACTAAATGATTCATTTTTATATAATATAAGGCAGTTCCGGGACTTTCCTTTCTTATAATTTTGAATGAGGGAATATTCTAAATAATTTTGTTTCTTTTTGCAGAGATGTACTTTGACAGAGGCAACTTTTACGACTTTACTTCCCTTGGTGAGTTTGCTAGTGCTTTAGCTTCTGCCATTATTTGGTACAGTTTCAACTTTATTCTAATTCATTTTCTTGATAATACCCCAATCTTCCTTCTGATATAAGGAATATGGTCTGTTGTAATCTCTATTAGGATGTCTGTCGTTGATACTTGTCTATTTATGATTCAATATCTTGCATGCAAGGATTTACATTCCAAGTAGTAGATTTTTGTGTAGCTATTCATTATTTTTCTCCTTGTTTGTAGTTCGTGAACTGGATATTCCTGGAGAAATATATGAAAGGAAAACATTCCCATTTGAATTTTCTACGGTTGAAATGCCATATGAGACATACAATGGGGCGAATGTTAGGCTAAGGTAAACTAGTCGTCAAAGACAGTTACGCCATTTTGAGTCAGATTCACAGTTGTATTATATTATTCTAGCACACCAACCGGTATTCTTCTTTTTAGGTATGTGTTGAAAGTGACCATCAGCCGTGGTTATGCTGGCAGCATAGTGGAATACCAGGATTTTGTGGTAATACTTCTTTTATCTGCTATGTATGCCTCTCTCTATCTTTTTACTTATGTGTATGTGCTATGTGCTCTGTGTTAGTGTTCTTGCCGATCGTAGGCCTGGATTAAAAGTTCCGTTTAGTTTATATCATATGTGCCTTGATATATGATATTTTCTTTCATTACTTCGGATGGGTTGGTTTTGACATCCAGAATTGTTCTCCTTACTGTTGAAGTTTCTTCTGTATGTGATTATGAGTGCTATTACACTACGTTGCCTTTCTAATTTTTAAAGGTTTAATAATTTTGTGGTTCAGGTTCGTAACTACTCTCCACCTCCATCAATTAACAATAGCATCAAGGTGAGTGCCATTATTACAATATCTGTATAGTAAACTCGTGTGCATGATGATACTGCTACTCTTGCTGGGGATTAGGCAACTTAAAGGGCTGTGGATATATTTATTGAAAACTGCAGTCTTGCTTCGACGCTCCATTGTCTAGTGCTGTTTAGTTTTTTATGCTGCATCTGTCTACGACTTGAATGATTAATTTTATTACAAGTTGCCCCCCAGATCATTCTAGTAATCTGAATACCTCTGCAGATGGAAGTTGGAATTGAAGATTGCCTGCACATTGAGTTTGAGTACAACAAAAGCAAGTAAGTTGAACATTTCTTGTGACGAATTTTCAGTCTGTCACCAAAGGGTTACAAGTGAGTGTTAAAATCTGGAAAGAATTGGTTTTTGAGCGGTAAGCTAAGCTTGGTTCTGCTGTGGTATACTCTTCCAGACCTGAACTTTACCAGCACAACCTGATCTCCCCCTTGAATATATCAAATATGAGCATATAGAGCGCATGGATAACTTAAATGGTGTAACTACTGAACTATAACATGCTTTGTCTAGTTGGAAAGGAACAGTTTCGTTAGTTTGTGCAAATGTGCAGGTATCATCTGAAAGACGTTATTGTTGGGAAGATATATTTTCTCCTTGTAAGAATCAAGATAAAAAATATGGATCTGGAGATTCGACGTCGAGAATCGACAGGATCAGGGGCCAATACCCATGTTGAAACTGAGACGCTCGCCAAGTTCGAATTGATGGATGGTGCTCCAGTCAGAGGTTTGTTGCCCATCCATTCTATTCATTCGAAACATAAAAATTACTGAAAGGGAGATTAAATACATAGCACAACACAGCTTAACGATGCTTTAATATACTTCAATAGAGATTTAAATGGTTGATTATGTAGTTTCAGATACCATTTCATGTTTTGTCTTCGGTTTTCAATGATTTACTCACTAGCTTAATGCATGTGCTTGCTTTGTCAGGTGAATCAATTCCAATCAGACTCTTTCTTAGTCCGTATGAACTGACACCAACACATAAAAATATCAATAACAAATTCAGTGTGAAGTACTATCTGAATCTTGTTCTGGTTGACGAAGAGGACCGACGATATTTTAAGCAGCAGGAGGTCACAATATATAGGCTTGAAGAAAATTCATCAGCATCATCTTAAATGCTAGCGGCATTGGAGTTGTCACACCTTGTAAAGCCTTTGCCTTGAACTTTTAGAACATATTTTGCTGGTGCGAGCGTCCAGTTTGTTTAGGAGGGCCTACCATGGCTTATCCTTCCTGTCGACTCAAAGCTTTTCATAATGGTCAAACTTATGTAGATGGGGGCGATGCACAGAGGCAGCAACAGATCTCGCCGATTTGATTTGATTTTATGTTAATTTCTGAACTAATATTCACCATGAAAATAGGAAGAAGGTTCTGTTCTTTTGTTTCTTTTTTTACACTGGTCTTGCATTATTCATGCTGTTCCGTGTTTTGAAAGAAACAAAGTGTTTAAACAACGAGGAGACACACTTGTGTAGTGTTAGTGGTGGTTTCTTCTGGGAATGTCTTGTTTACTGTTGTCTGTCTCATCATTAACTTACTGCCCTTATATATCGCCTTTGTTATGCAGTTGTTTTGGATACTTGAAATCTTGAATTCAATGTTGTTTTGCTGATTGGTCAGGGGAAAAATAGAAATCAATAGCTCTATAGTGCATTGATCTTTCTATCTGAGTTTCAGGATTCACGGAAAATGTTAGCGTCACTTTTTCTATCATTCTTTTTTTCAAATAGACTCCACTGATATAATATATTATTATTTAAATATAAAATGAGATATTAGAGTTCACGTGTCAAATAATAAATGCAGAAAATAAAAAAAAAGTGATGTTAGCATTTCTCATGACGATAGACACCTATATCTATATTCGATGCTAATTACAAAACAAATAACCCCATGGTAGGAAAAAAAAAATCCAAAATCATGATGAATGTCCGTTTGGATTTCAAGGAAAAGAAAATCAGTCAAATTTTGCTTTATCTTAACTTTTTGGTTGGATAGATTTTTTGTTTTTTTTGGGGCTAGATTTTGGTTGGATAGATTGATTATGCACTAAGTAAAACGATTATTTACATGATTCCCAAAGTAAAAACAAACATAAATTAAAATAAAAATTACGGTGACCTTTTCTGAAAAGAGAGATAATTTCGGTCATTTATGCAAATACCAAAAATAATTTGTCCTTCCTCCCGGGTTTCACTTTTTATTTTCCCTCCTTTTTCCTCTTTACTACTTATCTGCCATAAGTCATGTTAAGCGCGGGACGTCTTTTCAGCAAAACGCCGTCGTTTCGATGGCAGTGGCCTTCTCCAACAACGGCAAAGACTCCTCCTCACCGCTTCGCCTTCTCATCGGCGGCGGCCGCGGCGGAGCAGGTCGGCACTCACAACGGAAGCTTCCACTGCGACGAAGCCCTCGCCTGCTTCTTGCTTCGTCTCACCACTAAATTTTCCGGCGCCGACGTCGTCGGACCCGCGACCTAAAGGTCCCTCTCAATCCTAACGTCCTTCACTCGCTTAGTTCCTCTGTTTGGTTCCCGCGAAAAAACGCCAGGAAATCGTACGCTTTTGTTTGTTAATTGGAATTTTTGGCGGCGGTGGATTAGCAGGTTTTGGACTGGTTAGACGCGGTGGTCGACGTCGGAGGCGTATATGACCCAACCCGAGACCGTTACGATCACCACCAGCAAGGGTTCGGCGAAGTGCTTGGTCATGGCTTCACCACCAAGCTTAGTAGTGCCGGCCTTGTCTATAAGGTAATCATAAAATTGAAGCTTCTAACGTGACAATTTGTTTTTTTGGAACAATTTGAACTACTTAATATCGTTGACAATTTGTTCTTAAAATGTTCGATTTGAGCTAATTAATATCGTGACAATTTGTTCTTAAAATGGTCTTATTAATAATTTTGATCATTAGGCCCAAAATTGGTGATGGATTTTTGAAATATGTTGTGTGCTCGTTATCTGATGACTAAAATCTCATAGAAATGATTATATAAGATGCATATGCTTTCTTTAATAACTTTTAAAATTTTAAGAGTCATGGACTAAATTGTCAGTAAAAATTAGTTTTAGAAGTTGAACGATTAACAGAATCAAAAACTTTTTTCCTTAAATTTTATAGCATTATGGAATGGAGATAATTTCAAAGGAGCTTCGTCTTGATGAGGGACATCCAAATGTGTACCGGCTATTTCTAGCACTCTATAAGAGCTTCATTGAGGTATCATTAGTTTCTGGTGTAGTTTTCATTGAATGTTTGCCGCTCTTGGCTTCAGGCTTTAATCTTATAGTGGGGTTTTTTTTTTTTTAAATGGGGCAGGCAATAGATGCTATTGACAATGGGATGAACCAATATGACACAGACCATCCTCCGAAATATGTGAATAACACAAGCTTATCTTCAAGAGTTGGTAGATTGAATATGGACTGGGTGGAGGTTGATCAATCATCCGAGAAAGAAAATGAGGCCTTCCGTCATGCAATGGAACTAGCCGGTGGTGAATTTCTCGACGTATGATTTTATTTTATATTATTTTGGGCCTTCTGTACTTGACTGGACGCTGTTTATTGCATTAACCATCTCTTTGTATTGCAGACTTTAAATTTCTATGCCAAATCGTGGTTACCGGCTCGATCAATTGTTATGGAGTGTCTTGCAGCAAGAGAAAATATTGATCCAAGCGGAGAGATCATTGTGCTGACTAAATCTTGCCCTGTAAGTAGTCAGTTTCTGCCTTATTCCATCCCTACTTGTGTCACTGGTTTCTGATTTTATGAGTTTATTTGGTTATGCTGTCTTTTTAAGTTTAAATGTGCCGTATATTTCAGTCTTTGTGATTTTGAGTATCTCTAACTTAGAGGTCGTGTGTTTTGTTTATGAACGTTTTATTGAGTGCGAACTCTGTCATTACTGTTTTTTCAACAGTGGAAACTCCACATATTTGAGCTTGAGGAGGAAATGAATATCAGCCCTTCCATCAAATATGTTACTTACGAGGTATTCATAACCAAATGTCATGATATGAAAGCGGTGTCTCGGCTCTTAACTCCCCATTGCAGAGTTCATAGATGAGAAAAGAGGGAGAGCGTTGCCTCTTTTGAGCAATCTGTGGTGTGCTCAGAGGACGTGATGGGGTGAATTTGCACATGCAATCTTTCACTTGTCGTAATTATATATTGCATGTTACAGTTAATTTGGAATTGTTAACGGTGGTTGGGGCATATAGTTAGCTTATTTTATTTGCAGGATGACAGGAATGGAACTTGGAGAATTCGGGCAGTGGCAGTGTCACCTGATAAATTCGAGAGTCGCAAGCCTCTGCCATTTCTATGGAGGGGTTTAGAATTTGACAAACTCTCTGAGGTTGCAGGGATACCAGGCTGTGTTTTTGTACACATGAGTGGGTTTATTGGTGGAAATAAAACTTATGAAGGTGCTCTGGCGATGGCAAGAGCTTCTTTGACATCCCAAGTCTGATGACTGATTGTTTTGAATATGTCGAGATGCTTGATTCAGTGCAGCAGTAGAGGTAGGGTGCCTTACTATCACAATAATATCGCAACTCATGGTTACTTTGTTGTCTCCTTTTCTTTCGTTTTAGACATTAAAGCATGTGAGACAAGTGCACTTACCTGGAAAATAGCTTCTGATTATTGACTGAAAATACTTACTTTCTGATTCTGCAAAAAATCTTAATACTATTTGTACATCCGTTTTCAGTAGCAAGATCTAGTTTAATTACGAGATTCACATGAGGCTTCATGGTTTGTGTTAGTCATGATAAATTTCTTAGAATCTTGTTAGGGACAAAACCATGCACAAAACCAAACTTTTCACTCTCCTTCTTCAGTTATGGATGGTAATCCTTCTTTAAACCATGTGTAAAGGCCTCCTTCCAAGTGGAATACATTGGTATACCCGTTGAGAACCAGCAAGTATGCCGCTATCAGCGATCTGTAGAAAGTAGCACCAGTAATAGTTCACATGCTTTATTAGGCAATGACCAAACAACAGATGAAGCATCTAAGGGAAATTACAGAATAACGGTTTAAGTCAAATTACCTTGATTGTTGACCTTCTGGGAGATTTTGTGTTGGTTTCATTGTACCCCCAGTTGCACAAGCCACTATAATCTTTGCATCTTTACTTATTTTTGATTCCACAGCTATTATCATAGGAGAAACATCAGGCTGTTTCTACGTTTTATATGTGTAAGTTGTCAAAAAAGAAGTGCTAAATGGAGGTGAAAAAAAGGAAGCATACGTAGGTTATGATTCATACTTTGTATAAACTCAGGGTTCTCTTCTGTGCCAGCAAAGATGCCAAAAAATGCAAAGGCAGCACGGCGGGCTATGTCCCATGCTGTCCATTCCTTTATAAGCCTATATATTTGTACATTGATGGCACCGGGCAGATGAGCCTAAAATGAATACATTAGAGTAATACTTTAGCATCATCTTCATTGCTCTTTGACCGTAAATGCTGTGAACAAAACGGAATAATGGTGAATGTATACATGCAACCTGAAAACTAATGGATCAATTTACTATTTTTCCCCCTTCTTAAGTTTTATGGTTCTGATTATCTTGTTGCTGATTTCAATGAAGTTTAATGCTTTGTGAGAAGACTAACCTCTTTATATTCTGCTTCAGGTCGTACATCAAGAATAACAAAGTTGTTTTCCGTCTGAAGTCGTAGAGCTTCCTTCGCGTCTACACTCCTTACCTGCAAAGTAGGATGTTGCTTGGGCTTGATAAATGCCATGGTCTGTTTCTAACCCTTTCAAGACACAATATAGGCGCTCTTTTGCTCATGAAAACGCAAAGAACAATATTTCTTTTCTTTTTTAAGTTTTGCTAGAGAGGAATGATCTTTTTGTTACTTGTCAGAAAAGAAAGTATATAAAAACCATAAAGAGAAGTGAACAATCCCATTGCTTCAACTCTTTTTATCTAGAATAATTTTCTTTCTTTTTTCATTTCCGTCTCTCTATTTTGGTCGGTGGCCCTTTTATACTTTGAATTCCGTCAGGTGAGTATGAAACAATGATTAGACAAACTACTTATGTTTTTGAGCAACCCCCAAAAAAAAAAAAAAAGCCTATTTTGATTTCGTTTCTGTGTTGAGAGAGAGAGAGAGAGAGAGAGAGAGAGGAGCTTTACCCTTTTCTGTAGCAAGAGTTCCCTCTTAATCTTCCAGTCTTCTTCAGCTAACCCCTCCAAAAGAAGAGAGAAAAGAAACCAAGTGAGGGGCTAATTAATAGATGTCAGTATGAATATACGTTTAGCTTCTTTAAACATCACGTCAGCTTCTGAAATCGCTAGCGGGATTGTAAATACCTGGTCTTTTTTCCTGTTTCGTTGCTGCACTCTGGATTTTCAGGCCCTGAGGGGCGCTTCTTGGTGTCAATCTTTGCTTTGTTGATCTAAACGATCCAAGCATCAACCATGAGGAATTATGATTTTGTTGAGAATGCTTCGAAGGAAACATCTGTGGCGAGTGTTGGAAATTTTTATGTAAAGAAGATGAAGACGGGCACGAGGTAATTGAAGTGAAAGAAGCCATTTTAGTCAAAGCTTCTAGCAGAATCAGCTTTTGGGTTCTTAGATTTCAAGTCTTTTTGTTGTTTGTAAATCGATGTTTGAGTAATTAGCAATACTTCCTCTGCCTCTGACGACTCTGTTTGGTTTGAAGATCTATTTGCGGGAAAACGACTGGGCCAGGGCATTGTAGATTTTTATCTCCCTCAGAATCTGAATTTGTGGTGGATACTTATGGGCACGTTGCTTTTGGATATAGCCCATCATCACCACCTTTTGTTCTGTCGCAGGACCATATTGCAAGACTCATGCCTTGCACGATCCAACCTGTCTAGTAGTCACCCTCTTCTTAGACCTTAAAGGGGCGTTTAATATGTAATAATCTTTAAGGATGAAAATGAGAATTTGTAATATTATTATGTTTGGTACAAGAATTATAATATTTAAATTCTCAAAAAAGTGATTACCATAGGATTCACTTTTTCTTATTTTAAGGTAATTTAAATACTACCCAACATGGTGTTATTCAAATTCTCATGAATCTTATAATAATAATAATAATAATTATTATTATAATAATAATAATTATTATAATTATAATAATATTATTGATTTTTTTTTTTCATGTGAACAACCAAACGCAATAATGTAATATTTTTGAAAATTTAAAAAAGATTCTTGTATAGAATTAAATACAGTAATGTATTATTCTTAAGAATTATATTACCCTTCATCACTTTTATGAGAATATGATTCCTATTATTCCCGCGTACCAAATGCTTGTTAAGTCCTTAACCAATCATTTCATAACAAATCACTACCTAAGCCTTGTCTATTCACTTAGACGTGGCAGTCATATTTCACTTTGTACATTGATTGTTTTGTTTGAGTTGGGGTTTATGATGTGAGTGTTAGCGTGGCTTGCTTCATTTTATAACCAAGTATGTCATGGATGAATTCTTATTCACTAAAATAATATATATATATATATATATTATTGGTGACTCAATTACGATATACATACATCAAAATTGTTACATAATGTTATGAGATTTGTTTTTTTTTTTTTTTTATTGATATCCGTGTGATAATGTGTGAAAAGTTGTTCTCCACGAACTAAGGCCCTTGTGGTTATCATAAACATGATTCCCAGATGTAAAGGCTTAGAGGTGTTGATCTTCTAGATCTAGTTGATAGATATTGGGACTCAAGTCGTGTAAATTAGTCTAGGTTTTACTTTTAAAGTCTTATATAGGTGTATCATTTTTATGTGTAAAATAATCCTAGATTTTCTTTACAAAAATTGTATATTCAAATACCAACTCTCTAGGCTATGTTTAGTGAGAGGGAAAGAAAAATAGAAAGAAAAGAAAAGTCAATAACCTATGTGAGGAAAATGAAAAGGGATAAGGAAAGAGAGTGGTTTTTTTTTTTTTTTTTTCCTCTCCTTAAATCTTTTGAGAGATTAAAATTGGGTTTTAAGAAAAAAATAGAATCTTATAATCAAATTTGCAATTTTTTCTTTCCTATTAAATTACTTTGTTTTTCTCTATTAAATTCCTTCGAGTGTCAAAATTTTTTCCCTAATTCCCTCAGCCATCTTCCTCTATTTTTTTTTTTCCCCACCTCTCAAATCTCTCATTCACCCCTCAGATCATAGTGTGACAAAAGCGTCCCGCTAATCTAGCGCTGTTTCACTGTCAACCAATAGAGCAACTGGCCTCATTGTACATATGTACATGTTACATGTAACTAATGAAGAGCTTGGAACAGTTGCTTAATAAACGTACAAAAGCCGATCCCAAAAAAAAAAAAAAAACTATGATTTAAACATCCGTTTATTTTACCGATTCGAGTTTTACTACAGTAAAAAGTTCTTATAAACAGTCACATTTAACTTTTTTACTACAGTAAAAAATTTTCACATAAAATCACATATTAACTCGAATCAGCGAACTAAAAAGACTTTCAAAGGGTCCGTTCAATTCGCTAACTCGAGTTTTTAATTCGAGTTGAGACGTGATGTTGTGTGAAAACTTTTTATTATAATAAAAAAATTAAATGTGACTGTTTTTAAAAAATTTTTACTGTAGTAAAATTTGAATGGGTGAAAAGAAAAATAAAAGAAAGCAATGATTCTTTTTTAGTCGACATCAATCACACCCATGTGAGTAGACCTAGCACATGACGCCTCACCATGAAAATAGCGTTTCCATGTCTTACAAGCTTTAGATGTAGGGTCGTAAATATACCATTAATAAAACGAGTAGACTATTTATTTGAATAAATTAATGCCAAGGATCATTCAATGTCGACAAATTAGTGAAAGATCGACGTCCCGTTTAGTTTATAGATTAAAATTATTTTTAATTTATGTATATTTTTATGAAAAAAAATATTATAACGAACCATGAATCATGATTTAAATTAGAGAACGAATCCTCCAACTAAACGGACTCAAAATCTGTGATTAGAAAATAATAATAATTAAACAAAAAAAAAAAAAGCAAAAGGTCAATTATTTCGGCTTTAGCCCACGTAGATTATGGAGGAAGTTTGCTAAGGATCCATTTCAAATGCCATAGGCCGAATTCCACTAGACCTTGATCCAATTATTAATCTCAAGCCCAATCAGTGGGATTCAAAGGTTGGTTATTGAATCACAAATGAGAGAGAGGGTCAATGGTTGACCCTACCCTCACCACTTCACTTTTGCTCATTCCTCATTGGTTCCTCCTCCCTTGTTCCCTTCACATTAATTCATTTTCATCATTTGAGAATAGCCTTGAAAGAAAAAAAAAAAAAATCCTTGGCGTTACATCAAAAATAAAATCAATGGAACTCTGTCGGTAAGTAGATAACTACACTCCATGCCATCATTTACTCCTCTAAGAACGCTATTCTCCGTTTTTTTTTTTTTTTGAATGTTGAAATTGATCAAAATTATGTTAAAATATAAAAAATATAAAATTTAATATAGATAAAAAGAATTTTATTTGTAAGTTATTTTTTAGATCTACATTATAATTAATTATGGTGAATAGAATCTCGTTTATTTAAGCGATTTGAGTTTTATTACAGTAAAAAAATTCTCAGAAATAATCAGATCTAATTTTTTTATTATAGTAAAAAATTCTCACATAAAATCACATCTCAATTTGAATTGAAAACTCAAATCACGAACTAAACGGTCCTGAAATTTTTTTTTTTTATATTATTTTTGGTTTTTTTAGAAGCAAAGTGAATGGTTTTAGCAATACGAAAAACCAAAACCCACCAACAACGAGTTATTGTCCTATCCCCCTATCCACATTTGTGAAATTTCTCATCAGCCGAGAGTGGTTAGGTTTGCTTCAGATAGATCGAACGGTATGGACAGACTTGATTAACTGGGTCCCACTACTCCATCTTAGGGCTGATAATATGGATCACGACACGACGACACGACTCGAAAACGATATAAATTTTACGGGTTAAGGTTGAGAAAAAAGAGGTTCGGGTCAGAATTGGGTTGACATAAAATTGACATGAAAAACATTGGTCAATTTCAGATTGGACACGCCTAACCCGAACACAACACGAAACTCTTTTAAAAAACTAAAAAATATATCTATTTTTCATTGCATATTTTAAATTTTATTATGAACTTGTGATATTATGATAGTTATACTCAAAATCTTATACTATTATTTGCTTAATTTCAATGGATATTATTGTAATTTAGTGTGTTATGAATTTTAAGTTATTTTTAATATGTAAAAAACTAAATAAAAGTATACAATTTTCGTGTCAATTTCAGATTCACGGGTCAATTTCGTGTCACGGGTCATTTTCAGGTCGTATCATGTCAACTCGTAAAGTGATCGTATCGTGTTCATATTGCGGTTTTTAAAAAATTTTATGTCACAGATCGTCTTCAGATTGATTATAAATCTAAAAAAAATGATTAAAACACGACACGTAATACGAATTATTACCCGCGCTCCATCCCTTCGCTTCCCTAGTTAAAGTACATGAGATCCAATACGTGCCGTTTAATACTGTACGATCAGTAGCAGCTAACAAAACCACCGACACCTTAAAATACTCCACAATCTGGCAACCCTTGACTCGCCGCGTGTCAAATCACCCCTGATTAAACTAACACAAAAGTGGCTCTATTTACATCCGCGTCCTACGCAATTCTATCCTCTACGGTTCCACCTTTCGTCGATTTCTGCTCTCTCACGCTTCGCTTTATTGTGCGCTCGGAAAACGATCAATCAGTCTTGGAATTTAGAACTAGACAAATAGTCATAGACAAAAGTCAAAGCTAAATCATATCCAACGGAAAACAAGATTGAATAAGATGCAAAGCGTAGTAGAGGATTGTAACCCCCTTCTTCTTCTTCCTCAGCTCTCACTATATATATGACACAACACATCTCTGAAAGTATCTGAAAATCTATACTGTGCCTTAAAATTCATTACTCTCTCTCTCTCTCTCTCCTTTCTCTCTCTGTCTAAAATTCTGTTGCGAAAATGGAGATATTTTACTACCTGGTTTTCGGGGGATTGGGGGCGGTTGTGGCGGCAATGGAGCTGAGCAAGAACAACAAGGACCGAATCAACACCACGCCGGCTTTTAATTCCTTCAAGAACAATTACCTCGTCGTTTATTCTCTCATGATGGGTAATCTCACTCGTTCTCCTTCCTAGATCTGACCTAGATAAGATCTCCTTCAATTTGTATTTTCTCTCTAAATTATCTCTATGTATCACTGCGAACTGTCGGTTTCGCGAAATTGGATCCGATCTGAGGTTGTTCTCTTCGAGTCGTAAAGTGCAATTCAGAGGCACATTTCCTCAGATCTGTGTTTCTTTTGGCTACGTCGTGTCTTTGATAGTTTGATTGATCCGCACCTAACTTGCTTAGAATTTTGGGTGAGCTCTTGAGATCTGTCTTTGATTGATAATGTCGTTCGTCGATTTCGTGTCTTTGAGCTAAAACATTTGGATTTAAGACGCGAGATGGTTGCTTTCGTGTCGATCTGCCTGTCTCTTTGTTTATTTGTTTGCCGTTTCTCTGATGTGCTTAAGATATATTGTCTTCGTTGTTTTATAGATTTTCCTTTTTCGTTAGCGTCATATGCAAGTAAAGATAATCAGATTAATCAATGTTCCATTTAATTTTGCTCAAGTAGATTTTTATCTTTTTGGAGATCTTTCTATAAGTGCATTATTTAGAATTATTGTGGTCCTAGTAAATCTCTTAAGAAATTCCGTTGGCTAATCTATCTATGGAAGTAACTTAGAGTTGCTAAACTGTACTCCAAATGGATTGCAAATTTGTTGGAATTGATAATTGAACATACTGTGAAGTTGTAATTGACGTATGATCATAATTAACCTTTGAAACTTTTCACGGCCGTTTTTGATGGGAGTCTTGCTAAATCTTATTGAATTTTGCTTATTAGAACTTGCCTATAACTTCAGATAACGAACCAGACAGTGTTTAAATTGTTGTCAAAAATTAGATTACTAACCAGTTACTTTTTATGAACAGCGGGAGACTGGTTGCAGGGTCCCTATGTTTACTATCTTTACAGTACGTATGGGTTTGGGAAAGGTGAAATTGGACATCTCTTTATTGCCGGTTTTGGTTCCTCCATGCTGTTTGGGACAATTGTTGGATCTCTAGCAGATAAACAGTGAGAAATACCTCTGAATTATTGTTATTAGTTTTTCTTTTTTATTATTTGTAAAAAAGAAATAATAATAAGTCTAAGGACGGTAGATGATGCCCTTCGTGCTTCAAATTCAGGGGTCGAAGGAGGGCGTCTGTGACCTATTGCATTACTTACATACTGAGTTGTATCACCAAGCATTCTTCTCAGTACAGAATTTTGATGGTTGGTCGTATTTTGGGAGGTATCGCCACTTCCCTCCTGTTTTCAGCATTCGAGTCTTGGCTTGTTGCCGAGCACAACAAGGTAAGTGGCACTTGCTCTGTCCTCACAAGAGTAATTGTTTCTCAAACTATTAGTGAGAGCTCAGAATTAGTTAGACATTAAGTTTTTCTTATAACCATTTCAGTTATGATTATGTCAGCATTTTAGACAAGTTGATTAGAAGTAGTTGGAAGATCTAAAAGCTTGTAATCTTTATATAAATACATCAATGAGAATCTCAAAACACAATTCATTAAGTCATTTCATCAAATACAATTCTGTTACAATGGGAATTTCTCTCCTTTTCAGTGAAGTGATTAATGCTGCTGTGTGAGTGAATTATTTTAAGTGTTCAAGTGCTTGCGCATGAATAAAAAATAAATGCTCTGCCGCATCTCTCATTTACACCCTTTGTAATCGGTGAAATTAATATTGGATTAAACTGGTTAATGTTTCTCAAACTTGTTTTTATGATCCCTAAATGCTCTCTTCACTGTTCTGTGTTTGCGTCAGTAATTTGTTGTAGTACTGTAAACCTTTTAATTTGGTTATCATCATCCAGTATTGCCTGTTCATATAAATAATAACAAATGTGTTTCTCAATCTCTGCAGAGAGGTTTTGAACAACAATGGTTATCAATAACATTCTCAAAGGCAATATTTCTTGGAAATGGCCTTGTTGCTATTATATCTGGTTTGTTTGGGAATCTACTCGTTGATACACTGGCTCTTGGGCCTGTAGCACCCTTTGATGCTGCTTCATGCTTTCTCGCGATTGGCATGGCAATCATATTATCTTCGTGGACAGAAAACTATGGAGATCCTTCTGAAAGCAAGGACTTGCTTACCCAATTCAGGGGTGCTGCTGTCGCCATTGCTTCTGGTAGAGTCTGAATTTTTTACTATATCTCTACTTAGGATTCTTTTATACAATATTCTCTGAGTAGTTTTTCCTCCTCATTTAGTGCTGTCTTTTGTCTGATTCAGATGAAAAGATTGCATTACTTGGTGCCATACAATCTCTGTTTGAGGGTTCAATGTATACATTCGTGTTTCTCTGGACTCCTGCTTTAAGCCCAAATGGGGAGGATATTCCACATGGATTTATCTTTGCAACTTTCATGTTGTCTTCAATGTTGGGAAGCTCTCTTGCCTCTCGATTAATGGCTCAAACATCACCCAGGGTAGAGAGCTACATGCAGATTGTTTTTGCTGTCTCATCGGCTTCTCTCCTGCTGCCCATTTTAACCAATGTATGTCACAGTTCCAGTATATCACTCCGTTCCGTTGGACATTCTTAGTGGTCCTTTCTAACTTGGATGCTTTTGAACAGTTCTTGGTAGCACCTTCCAAGGTGAGAAGTGGGAGCATGTCATTTGCAGGATGTATCCAGCTCCTTGGCTTCTGTGTTTTTGAGTCCTGCGTCGGAGTATTCTGGCCATCCATTATGAAGATGAGGTCTCAATACATTCCTGAGGAGGCTAGAAGCACCATCATGAACTTCTTCCGCATTCCTCTCAATATCTTTGTGTGCATTGTGCTGTACAATGTATGTTGCAGGCTATTAATTAACGTTGAAATATTTCTTTCAAGATCCCTCTCTACTTCTAAAACTGACTAGTTGTTTCTTTTTCTAACCATAGGTTGATGCGTTCCCAATCACTGTTATGTTCAGCATGTGCTCAATTTTCCTCTTAGTGGCATGTTTCTTGCAGAGGAGGCTCTTCGCGATTGCAGACAAGTCAAGTAAGTACAAAATTCATTCAGTCGTTTTGCTGCATTCCATGGCACTATGTCGAACTCACCGGATTTTGATACTTGTTTTTGTTGCAGAAACCGAAGATTGGGCAATGAAGGAAAGGGACACTGAGGCCGAGCCATTAAACATATAATTGATGATTGGCCGACAGACCACCAGATTTTTTGAGACGATGGCGGTAACCGCCTTCAGATGCATCCTGTTAGTTGAGGGAGTATTCGATTTTAAGTATTCAATTTGACAGTGGAAACAACTTATAAGAAAAATAGTGGTCTGCCCTGCAGAGAAGATGAGTTTTGAGAGGGAGAAGCGTCAATTAGAATTCCTGTAATTGATTTTGGCTGTCAATCAATCCTGTAGCGTATTAGTTTTCACTTTTCAGCAATTACTGTTGGGAAAGAAATATCCACTTTGTACGCCAATATTATTCTTTTCTACGTCTAATATCTTACAATTTTCTTCATTAAGATGTAAGTGAAACTGCAGCAATGGCATGATATGGTAAAAGCATTTTGCTTATGATTGTTAATCATACATTGGAGACTAAAATGGATCCAAAGTATTGACTCATCATAAACTTCTTTTTGACCGAAAATATTGTAAGTTATCTTTTGTGCAATTTTTTGTTTTTTTGTTTTTTTTCCTCCGACCATCCTAACGTAGTTTAGGAACTTGAGAGAACTCATAAGAAACAACAGCTTTGCGATGTGAAGAGGAAATTGAACAAGCATTAGACTTCTCCAACACTCTGATTTGATTACACGTCCGTAAATTTCAAGTCAAATGTCAATTTGAGGTTTCATGAAGAACTCAAATGCTGAAAATGAACAAATCGTATTTGTCAATTTCGGGTTTCGAAAAGAACTTTGATTGATGGAAATGAACAAATCGTGAGATCTTGTATTATTGCCTTAAATAAATAGTCAAACCACACTAACCAGTTTCCAATCTGATACATAAATACAACGAAAGTTTACAGTAGAATCAAGAATGTCATGAGCCTTGATGCTTTGAGAAGTAATTCAAAGCACTCTGGCACGTTTAGCATCAGTTGAAGCAACTTCTAGGTCCCCAATGAAGAAAAGGATTTTATCCAAAATCCCGCGGCATGAGGATTCCTCTTCTTCCTGGGATACTTCCCCACTGCCTTCTCTCTTCAAACTCAAAGCGTGACCGTTCAGCCCTTTCCTTTGTCTCCTCGAACCCAGATAGCGTTGGATCTCGCCTTGATGAACAAGATAATAGTTGCCACCTTCTCTGATTATCTTCAACCCCCTAATCATTACATAATATTTCCGTTCCATCAAGAATTCGATTTTGTTACTAGTCATGCTCAGTTAAACACAACACAATACAAAGTGACTAAAATCTAAAACCCAATTCTCGATTCACTAGAGTTCCTATTTCACTTTGGATCTTTGAATTGGAAGAAATGTTAAGCATCCTATTTGTGTTTCATCATCATCATGTGAAAATTTTAGCCGTCACATCGGAAAGCTGAGTTTTTAGCCTTCTATGCAGATCCATTAAGGCATTGATACACGGGACTAACCCGAAAAAAGTACTATCAAATGAGTTATTTGTGCAAATGGGCATGTTATGAAATGAAAAATGTAAGAAAGAAATCCAAGCATCATAGCGCTTCTAGTTTCTAACTTACAGTCCAATGCGATCACAACGGTCTTGGACCTCATACACATCCTTCCATGATTTCGAACCTGCAGGAGCATAGAATGTAGCACGATCTACTCCCCATCTCTCCTTGAATAAAATGGACCAGAGATTGTTGTCTGAGGCCAACACTTTCCATTTCCTGCACACTTCACAACACCAAAAATTTGCAATGTTTACAACATATTACTTGATAAGCTCAAGCTATGCATTCAGATAAAGGAGATCTGAAAACAAAAGCAAATGAACCAAATGACTTTCGTTTAGATCGAATCCTCGTTCCTTAAAAAGAAAAACATAACATAAATTGGATGGACCTATTATTCTTTTACCAATCTGATGATTCTGATAAGAAAATGAGTAAAAAGCATATTTACGGATCGCCTAAAGAGCGAAGGAAATTAATAAATTACTCGGAAGTGGACCATCTTTTTGCACTTTGTTGAAAAGAGAAGCCCTTTCAACAAAAATCTGAAAAGTGCTTAATGAAATTAGAGCATTTAAATACAGAAAATTCTCCAAAAATTCAACAAAGAGTTTTCTTTCTTGCTTTCATTCTTTTTTTTTTTGTCTCCCTTGGTATGGAAAGAAATTTTTTTTATTTTTTTTATTTTTAAAGAATAAAGCTTTTGTAGTAATAAGAAATAAACAGTTTCTGGTGAATTGAAGAAACGCAAACAAAAAAAACCCCACAACGATTTAGCAGGATCTCGTAAATTAACCGGAAAAACTAAACTATTTGCCTCCGAATTGTGTGAAAACAATTCAAGGAAAAATTATCAAACAAGCCTCATTATATTCATCAGGAAAACTCAATCACAGGAGTCTAAAAGTGTCAGAAAAATGCAGAACTCAAGCCAAATTATGAAACCCAGTTCAGATCCGCATTGAATCATTAGAAAGGTCTCAACTTCGTCGAACTTCAAAGAAATTTCAATGAGGAAATAGAAGAAGGAAATGACAGACCTTGTTGAGCGGTGGCAAGATTCTGATAGTCCAAGAAACAGAAGATCTTCAGATAGATCTCTAGTGGCAATCCCTCCATCAAACTTTCAGCTTTTTTCTTCTTCTAAACTCTAGATTAGTTCGAGTAAATTTTATGTTTCTTAAAGTGAAAGCAAATGGAAAGAGCTTTTGGACTTCGATGTGTTTATTGGTGTTTTGTTTTGGTCGATTCCGGAACTTTGCTTCTGATAACGTATTCTAATACGTGTTGTCCCAACAACGTGTCAACTGTCATGTTTTATACAGTTGTTGTTGTTGTTGTGTTTTTTTTTTTTTTGTCAAACTTATGATGGGCTGTGGGTCCGGCATTTTAGACGTTAACAGAAAGAGTTAAAAAAAATGAATATTTAACAAATAACAAATATTATTATTAAAATAATTACAATGTCATTTTGTAGCACGGATATGAATATCATTAAAATAATTAAGGGAGTTTTCACGTTGTAACCCCCATTTTTATTCCACTTGTGAAGCATTACATTTTTATTGCTGATTAGTTTTTTATTAGTCAGATATATAGTAAAATAATTTTACATGACGCGATCAAAATTTTTAATACGGATATAAATTTGATCGTTAAAAAATTAATTCAACTATTGAGGGGTGGTCATTTCATGACCAAAAGAATAGGCCCCCCACCTGAACAGGCCGAATAGGAAAGAATAACCTGAACAGGCCAAGCACCTGGTCTGAATAGGCAGACCAGGCCGAACAACCTGAACATGCCAAGCACCTGGTATGAACAGGCCGAATAGGTCAAGCACCTAGTTCGAAAGCCGAATATGAAAGAACAACGTGAACATGCCAAACACCTAGTTTGCAGAGGCCTAATAGGCTGAACAGCCCGAACACGGTGAGCACTTGGTCCGAATAGGCCAAACAGTCTGAACAGGCCGAATAGGCAGAGCACCTGGTTCGAGCAGGCTGAATAGGCTGAGCACCTGGTCTGATCAAGCCAAACAGGGAAGAACAGCCCGAACAGGCCGAGCACCTAGTCCGAATAGGCTGACCAGGAAAGAACATGCAGAACAACCCGAACAAGCCGAATAGGTAGAACCACCCGAACAAGCAGAGCACCTGGTTCGAATAGGCCGAGCACTTGGTCTGGTCAGTCCGAACAGGGATGAACTGCTCGAACAGGCTGAGCACCTAGTTTGAACATGCCGAACAAAGAAGAAAAGGTCAAACACTTCGTCAAAACAAGCTGAACATGGAATAGAAGCCCAAACAGGCTGAGCACCTGGTCCAAACAGTCTGAATAACTAAACTTGCAGAACACCTAGTCCGAACAAGCTGAGCACCTAGTCCGATCAGGCCGAACAGGGAAGAACAACCTGAACAGGTCGAACACTTGGTCCGAACAGGGAAGAGCAGAGCGAACATGTCGAGCATATGATTGGAACAGGGAAGAACAGGCCGAGCACCTGGTTCGAACAGGCTGAGCACTTGGTTCGAACAGGGAAGAACAACCCGAACATGTCTACCTAGCCAAGCAGGCCGAACAGTTTGAACAGGTAGACCAGGGCGAGCACCTGGTCCGAACAGGCCGAGCGCTTGATTCGTGCTGACCGAGCACGTGGTTTGAGCACTAATCGACACCGAATGACGGAACATCACAAGTTCCCAATAAGGCAACTGACTGCCACGTGGCAACCTCCATGCAATCCCAATGGGGGCTCCCTCCACCTATAAGGGCATGACATGTGTCATCTGACCAGTACATCTGTACACTTGGGTCAACCTCGGGTTCCGGGTCGGATTCGGACACTACTTGGATTTGGAAATACTCTATAAATACCAAGTTCATTAGCCCACAAAGGTACGGATATTTTTCCACACCTAACTCTGCCCCACTCATTTGTTGCTCCCGACTAGAACGCTAACTTGAGCGTCGGAGTGCCATTGGTAGACACCACACTAGTCTCCCCCCTCACTCTGAGGCCATCTAATCTTTCGTTGTAGGTTAGAACAAGGTTAAGGATCTGTCCCGAATAGTACTAGAACCCGAGCAGAATAGTACTATGAATCCGATCATAAGAGGTGGAAAATAGAGTCCGATTACTGTGTGTTTCCGCATGCAAAATCCGACGCATCACCAACGATTAAAAATGCAGTGCTCCACCAGTGGAGCAAAAATGAGAGTAATTATGTAATTTTTGTTATTCTTAAAATAAAATTACTATGTTTCAACTCCACTCAAAAAATTTATCATGTGTAATTTTTACTAAGATTTAAGAACATCCTCAATCTTACTCACTGCCCAATCTTTCTTAAAATAATTTTAGCAAACTGAAGCACTGAAGTTGAACTATAAGAATTCTGCCGTTTCCAATTACAACCTAACAAAATGTATACTTAACAAAGTCAATTTGTACAAACACTATCCATCACAATGGGATTTCTATATTCTAAATTTTAACAAACAAATGAGTAAAAATAAATAAAAAAGAAAAGAAAACATCAAATTAAATATTTCATCCAACACTATTAGAAAGTAACGAAAACGCAAATTGGACCACAGTTTCGAGCCTGTCCATTAAGCCAGAAACGGTGTTCTTTAACGTTTCATGTGAACTTGCATCAAAAAGGGCAAGTTTGTCGTGCCGCAGTTGGTGAAGCTGCCTCTCTAGAAATCTTATAAGACTGGACTCTGCAATATTGACCAGACTCAGTGATGCATTTGTGTGCATAAATTTTGTAACAACAAGTCCTGCTAGAAGCTGCTGATCTGCCTTCACAAGCTCTGAAATAAACGAGGGAAAAACAATCCTCCTGAAAAGTAGCAAGTCCCTTTCGCTTTCTGCTGATCCCTCGGGCACAAGCCCGGATAGTTGGGCCGCCTGACACTTGTGAGAAAAGTTCCCAACCAAATAGCAGATGTAAGAGAATGTAGTACCATATGAAGATTTGGAGATGATACTAGATAGTAGTCCAGAGGATGATATAAGAACTAGAAAATCATGGTCCTGCCCAATTGGGTCCGAAAACCCTCCTCGTCTCAACTTATCTTCAACAGCAGCCAAGCATCGTAGCCGTAGAGCCTCATAAGGAAGCAAGAGAACTAACTTTAAAGCCATAAGACAATCCATTTGAAGAACAACTTCGGTTAAGCTCCTGGCACCATCTTCATCGAGCAAGATTCCGTTTGATTGGTCTAACAGTCTTAGCACGTCTCTAAAGCGAGACAATGTCACTAGTTTCTTGAAGATCTCCAACCAACAGATATGCAAAGGGTGAAGAGAAGGGACGCTTCCAGTCTTTTCTTTCTCAGGAGGTTCGATGTCCTGGAAACTTTCCCACCCCTCATCCCAGTCGTCACCATTCCAGGCATTTCCAGCATCAGATGCTTCTAAAGAGGCTTCCTCATCATGCTTTGCCATGAAAAGCCCTTCCCACTCTCCCAAAACAGCTACGAGAGAATAAATATGAGAATCAGTATGGGAAACGTCAGACAGCTTGGAGAAGCAAGAAACTGCTGTCTCTACAGTCGACAGATCATCGGGGGTAATTTCTATGGTAGGTGAAATGCTTGCCGCAAGTTGAGATGACTTGAGGGCAATCAACGTACTTGTTACTCTGCAAGATGTATCATTATGATCTGCCAAACCCTGATTGCCAGATGTTTCACTTTGTTCGCTAGTAAAATGCACCTCATCCCACCCTTCCCATGGTACAACGTTGGAGTGTATCTCAGTAGAGAACCCCTTCATATTTCTACCTGTGAGGAATTGCATAAGCTCCAGGACGTAAACTCGTACAGATCCGGGTATCTGCAGATCATCGGAGAACTTAGCAAGTCTTTTCCAGATTAAATGCCTGACCTTCTTCAAATCATCCAGATCACCTTCTAATTTACTCACAGAAGACAATATATGATAGAAGTTCTGGTGGTCCTGGGAGCCACCTACAGCTAAATGGTGCAAAATGGGTTCCAAGAGATTCAAGTAGAGATGGGGGAGATCCTGGAACTCAGCGTTATCAGCCAAAATGAAACCAGTTGGAGCATGCACTGCTTCAGAAAATACTTCGGCAACGGCACTGAATCCACAACCAGAAAAGACCATAGCTCTGCAGAACATGAAAATTTCAAAAGCAGCAACACCAGTTAAACCATGATTGACATAGCCAACAATCGTGCTCCAGCCCTGACTTGGTGAGACACTATCCTCAATCACAAGCTTCAAGAAAACTTTAAGACAACTCATCAAGCAGTCTGGATTAAATACAAGAATCTCTTCTCCATTGTCGAGTGATATAATTTCCTTCAATACATCAGTTAATCTCATCCAAAAGTTTAAGAGGATCAAAAGGCAGTCCTGCCACGTTGAATCGTCAGGAAGAGTTCCATAAGAATCATAAAGAGGTATAATTACCATGAAATACCGCCTTATAATGTCCAAAGCATCAGAATGTGCCAAGAGTTTGATATATAAACTGCATGATTCAAAGCTTTGCTCAAGCTGACATACTAAACACTGAAGGTTTTCAGGCCTTTTGACAGCGAATTCTGTTCTAGCTTTAGTTTCCAAAGTCGTTAACAAACTGAGGAGAAAATGTTTGTACACATCCTTCCACGACATGAGACCATCTGGAACCGAGTCAGTATAAATGGTGATCAGGGTTTCTACCATCTTTGCCAAGACTTCCAAGCTACTATCATTGATATGCTGGTAGATTTCACAGTTGAAGCAGTCTAAATTCAAACCCCCGAGTCCAGCAATGTTTTTGAAGTTGAGGTTTGTCAGAAAGGATACTCTTCTGCATTCTTGCTCAAGTACCTGGTAATAACGAGCAAATCCAAAACTAGACAATTTGGCTTGATCTGGGTGTATTATTGGTAATGATTTTTTTGTTTCTTCCAGCTGCAAATAGCAATCAGAAAGCAGCTCAAATACAAGAGCAAGTCGCAACTTATTGCATCCATCAATTGCAGGATATATAACCGAGGAAATAATGTCGATGGTCCTAACAGCATAACCAGCTATTTCTCTTCTACACTCTGGAAATTCGTGCATAATATCATCATTTGTCCAAACCTCAGAAACAAGCAAAGAATTTATATAGTGTAGAAGCACCTGCAAGAAAACAGAGAGAAAGTATCACTTTATCGGTTGAAATAGTTAATCTACATTGCCCACTGTTGTTTTTGCTAAAAAATATGCATACCTCTCTCCGATTCAAGCCATATGTATCAGCCAGTTTTAAAACGTCCTTAAGAATGTACTTCTTCTCCAACTTTACTGACTCAATAAGAGAGTAGACAACGCTCTGCATATACTTGATGTCCCCAGACAAAAAACGTGCAGCATCAACCCCAGGAATTATCTTCTCTAATGCTCTAGAACGATCTGCCACAAACTTTTGTTCTTCTAATTTCAGTTTCCATTCTCTCCAAAATGTAGACTGCACTTCATCAACTTTGGCTATATCATCTGAAAGGAGAAAATAAATTAATAACGAAGAGAAAAACGAAATTATGACATGAAAAAGAATAAAAGATATCAACCACAAAGACCAAGTATAGAAGAACATGTGCAGCATTATTTAGTAACTCCAGCTCATCATTATATTAGACATTATTTTGGGAAAAAGAAAAAAGAAGAAGAAAAAAAAGGCAAATAATCCTTACCAGGTGTCTGTTTTTCCTTGAACTTCCCGAATAGCATCTCTCTCCTCTGGGCAGGACCTTGACACTCAACTCCATAGTTGTGTAACAAACTATATATCATCCCCACATTCATGATGCTACTAATTTCTTGGTAGTCTTTTCGTCTTCTCAGTTGATCTTCTATTACTTCAACTCCACAAAATGCATCCACCAGATTCAGCAGAAAGGAGCAGCCAATTATGTCTTTCTCTTCAGTAATAGGAGGTTCCATAATTGATTTTGCCAGAGAGGCAATCAAATCATCTTTAGGAGCAAAGCCATTTCTTGCCAGCCAGGATATAATAGTCACCACAGCCTGTGTTCTTACACTCACATATTGCATTCTAGGAATCAAGCCATATATTGGCTTCTGACTGCTTTCAGGTTTCTTACTTAGTTCAAGCAACCATGGAAGTTGTAAAGTAGCGAATGCCAAAGTTTTTCCGTTGTCTCCAAGGACAGATTCCCAATTCCTTCCTTTCTCAACAGGCAAGTCTTTAGCAACAACAGAAAGTATCTTTTTTATGTTACCAATATGTACTTCCTGATCATCACTGGTAGCTCCTCCAACTGCTTCAGAAAAACCTTTCGCGTAAACTGTGTTGTCTGAATCTGAAATAATTGATGAACCTTGACTGGAGAAATTGGGAGCATTTGACTCTATCGATGTCATTAACATTTCACACAGGCCTTGCATGTCAAGATCTTTCCACGCATGGAGCAACTCACTTATAGATTCCTCATCGCAATGGCTCAAAGCAAAACCTAGTAATTGTTTTCGAGATTTAATATTCATATTTTCAAGTGCTGGACCCCTTGCTATTGCAGCGCATAAATCCCAAACTTGACCATGTCCTTTCTTAGCCAAAACAAGGCAGAGATCAAGTGCCAATTGGAGATCACCAGCAACGGCAGCTTCTCGAGCAATAGCTTCCTGAACAGCCGATATGTCATCTGGAGAGTTCAATCCAAGAAGTTTGGCGATCTCAATGATCTCATCAACATGTAAATATGCTCCAGTTTGATTTGTTATAGCCATTTTAATAATCTCCATTTGATCTTTTATTTGCCTAAATTGCATGGGTAAAAGTGTCACCCCAAGACTGGGAAGTTTGACTGTAAGCACATCAATAATATCAAGCTCTGCTTGAATGATTCTACTGCTTGAAAGTAGGTTCAGACACTCCTTAGCCTTCCAAATCTGAAACAAGTCAAATCTTGCAAAATGTTAGAAAATGAAACGCTACCAAATTAATTCCAATCCAAACTTTAGGTGTATATTAAATATCTCTGTGTTGACCTGAAAGGAAAATTCTTAGTTTAAGTTGCTCATTAAAAGCACATACCTAGTATATATCTAGTGTAGCCAACCCACGGTAACATGTGGCTATTTCAAAAATCGTAAACCAATAACACATAAAAAAGGGCTTCATACTTACTTCAGAGCAAGCGAGACTTGAAGCAGAATAGAAATATTCCCTTGCAGCTTGAATGACAAGATTCTCTGCCTTATCTGATGCCAAAGCAACTGAACTTGTTCCCTTTAAATAATTCCTAGCTAGAGAAAACTTCCCAGCTTTCAGCAGCCCTCTGCAAAATTCCATCAGCATATACTCCAGATCAAGAAACGGAAATGCCTTCTCCCTCATGCACAGCATATCACGCCACATGTTTGCCCAATCATTATCCAATCGGCCCGGCTGTCGACGTACGAACTTTGAAAGTATGAGGCGGAGAATTTGCTTTACACCTTTCCCATCACCATCAGACTCGAGGAAAAAATTCATAGGCTTCGGGACCTAAATAAAAACAAGTCACTATCAATTATATGCAAGAGCATGAATCCATTAAAGTATTTCAGAGTCTATCACATTGTCAAATAAGTACAGGATTTATGCCACAAAATCTGTTCCAATCTCAAGCTTAAGGAACACCAAGATCATGGCCAAGAAAGTTCGCATCAGGATCAGAAATTTAAGGAAATAAAAGTATAAATGTTTTCCATAGTCAATATCATGATTGTTCTCTCTTAAAATATAACATCACCTGATATCATATTTCACATCACACGTGCTTTTTTTTTTTTTTTTGTTTATTAGCGTGGTCAGTGTGTAGGCAGGGCACTTAAGGGATGGATGGGCCACAAAATTCAAAAATGCAAAAGCATTTTCAAGCCGGAAGAAATACGAACCTGATAGAATGACAGAAGCCTCCCCACTTCAATATGGCCCTCTGCCAGTTTTAATCTTCTCTCCAGGCCCCCATTATACAATTTACTACCTGTACAGTCAAAAGCTGTATGTTATCCTCAAAATTATTTTTCTATTTTAAAAAGGCATGAGACCACAGGGACAGATTGCAGTCCTCAGGTCCACAAACAACAACAAAATGAGATGCAGTGCAAGACAATCAATAACATAAGGGCTGCCAATAAATGCTTGTGGAGGAGAAAGCCTCTTCAAAATATTAAAAAAATCACTCACGCATGCCAAACAAACACTAATTTTAATTGCAAGTAGTAATCTCTAAGCGTCTGCTAAACACATCCACTGATGAGCAAAACGAAATCTGATTGACCACTGGCTCATACCAAGATTACAATGACATGCGTCAAAAGGAGGGAACTTACCTGGCATTTGTGGAAGTTTTTGCAGTATGGCTGCCATGGTGCTCCACTTATCAGTTACTTTGCACAAATAAAGACACTGCAGGGCACAATTTATAGCTTCAACTTCATCCTTGAATAAGCTGTTACTTTTGATATCTCCACACCCCTCCTCTATCACCACTGAGCAAATCTCCAATTTATTCTCTGAAGCAATTTCCTTCAGCCATCTTACCAGAAATGACTCTGCCTTGTCATGATCACCAGCAAGATAATTACCTGTCACCTGATCTAGAGAGACTGAAGTCGTATAATGAAACCTATTCTGCATGAATGGAACTGCTTTATCACGGAGTTTTTCAATAACATTTTCTTCTTTGACCCCCTTGAGCATCATTCTAAATTTATCGTAGTCCGACAATAGTTCCCATGTGTCCAGATTCAAACTTATTTCACCATCGCTATCATCAGAATAAATAAGTTGGTGCAGGTATGAGACATCTTCATGGAACTGCTTCAACTCAGATATGCCTTTTCTATTAGCAAAATCAAGCAAGCAAAGGCAAGTATCTAGCTGCCCACTAGATCTGTCAATATCTTTTGCTCTATTCTTGTACCATATAGAAAGTTCATTAACTGAAGGCCAAACAAAACCTGAGCATTGTTTGACAATTGGTTCCGTCCGAATCTGCACATCAATCCCATGATTCTCTTGTAATCCATTCAAAAAGTTTACCATCTTCTTGCATTCAACCCAATCTTCCTCTCTCACAACTGTACCGGAAGGAGGAGATCTCCCAGGAAGAAGCTGTCCGTATGTTTGTACAGGAAGTGTTTCCGGGATAGCAACCAAAATCTCTAAAGTGAAAGGAGCCAGTGAATATGGATGACGCTTAAACAAGAGGTTCAAGGCTCCAATTTTCCCACTTTCAGCAAGCACTGTAGCAGCTTCATTAAGAGGCATTACTCTGAACTTGGCATACTCCTGCACAGAAAACCTGCAGAAAACTATGTTGTTAAGCAGTGGGTTAGTAGCAACCATCATAAGAATTGCATAACAATTAAAGCTTCAATCAAGAATAGGTGAAAGTTGGCAAAATAAAAATTCAACACATCCAGAAAAGAAACTAAAATGACAGCACAATAGCAAAATAAAACACGCAGTTCAAAGAAACAAAAATCTAAATTTTGCATTAACTAAACTCAGAAGCTGGTGTATGTAGAAGTATCTACGGGAAACAATAATCTGATGGTAGCCTGCAAAGATGAACAAAATGACTTCCAGTAAAATATTCTCATTTGCAAATTAACGGTTTCTCTATTCTCTCTTTTGCAATTAATAGCTTCGTACCTGCCCATGTTAATTCCAAGATATGTCTCCAACCTATCGCGGAATTGCAATAACTTAAGTCTAGCCATTCGGAAATCCCACATTGTGGTACACTCGGAATCTTCTCGTTCAGAAAAACTATACTGGTTAGTTAGGCGCAGTCCATATTCAAGCAAAGCCTTCATGGAATCTTCTGTTGGTCCAACTTTGTCAACACATTCTGAAAGTATAAAAACCGTATCTTTAATTTTTGATAGATGCATACTTATTTCATTTAATCCTCGTGCAGAATGCAACCATTGTGATTTTATGACTTCATCTTTTTCCAGCCCATGACAATCAGCAAAATCTAGGGCAGCTTGATATCTTCTATTGCTAATTAGGATATTATACATTTCAAGAATGGATCTCTTGGAAAACGTCATCAGGTTCCAGGTCAACTTAGAAATGTCAAGATGACTAAAACCATCTTCAATAATCTGATCTATACAATATGAGTCATTTACCCCTTTGTCATTAGATAGAGGTTCTCTCTCTTCAGATGATATACTCTCCAAAAGAAACAGGTTTCCTTGAGATAGACAGACTCTTTCTATAACAGGCATAGAGTAAACAAGATCATTCTCCTGAACTTTTAAACCGCTAAGGATGTCAATCATGGTTACAACTCCAGTCCTTTTTGCAATAGCAATAACATGATCAGACCACCAAGTAAAATCCACAATATCACATCTCTCTTGCAGAAAACATCTCTCTCCTCCAGTAAATTTTGAAAGTGAAAAACGTTGCTTATTCAGCTTAAAAACTTGCAAGCATCCCATCACATCGAGACTACAAACAAACTCAGCTTCTGGTGAGATTAGCACCTTCGGATATGCAAGTGGACCTCTATGACCTTTTGGTTTAGAATATAAGCCCTCAAACTGAGTAGAGAACAACTGCTCTATGTCCATGCTGTTACTTCTACGCCAAAGAGAAAGATTACAAGATCCTGGAAGATACGTAAAGAACCAATCAACAATTAATATTACCTCTAAAACATTTTCTGGTACTCAGATGGCAAGAATATGGAACGTGATTTTACCTATAAAATATTGCCATGAATCAAAATGGTCATAAAGTATAGCAGGGTAATAGAAACTAAATGGCATATGAAGCAGAGACAAACCATTGTTTTGTGTGATGCTCTCGGAGAAGGTAACAGCAACAAACAAAAAGAGTTCTGGATGGAAATCAACACAACAAACATTTTGTGCAAACTTCCCCTTCAGAGTTAAGCCATTATGAACAGAGGTATTTGGCTCCCGACCTATCTCAATATGCTGAAGGGAACCATCTGACGTCACAATAGTGAAGCTACACCTAGAAATATTTTCATTTGACTTTAGCAATTAAGCGTCAAGTTTTGTTTAAACTAAAATTAAAAAAAAAAAAAAAAAGGCCATAACCACGTCGAAAAATCAAGATCAACATGGTATTGCTCTGCCTCTTCATATCCTCTATACATAGATCATACATGTAGAGGTAGCACTTACAAGCATGATCGCTGTACATCAGAATCAGCATTTGCAATCAGTTTTACAATGGGTAAAGAAACTTTTAACTGCCTCTTCAAAATCCTCATTATTTCTTCACCATTTGCTTTGATAAAATATAGAGTATCCATATCATCAGCAACTCCAAGAACATCGTGGCTTTCCGACCAAGTTCCGGCCGAAAAAGTAACAAGGCCGCTAGCTGCAACAAGCTTCACAAATTAGAAAACATTCAAACAAGAAACAGTACTTGCTACAGAAATCGATCAATAATTGAAAAATACTAAATATGACGCAACCAGATAGCCAAAACACTTGATCAATATATCATACATGTAACTCAAATAAGAAAAGCCAAGAAATCTTACTAGTAAACATTCCACATGGCTCCGCGTAGTCATCCTTCTTCTGCAGAATTGTTATCTGATTTCCAGCAGCCACAGCCACACGCTCGCCGCTCGGAGATATAAACAAGGATGTTAATTTTTTCAATTTTCTAGGTTGCTTGGTCTCTAACCACTTTTCTTTGAGTCTACTCACACCTATATGAAACAAAAGGGTGCTAGATATTCAGTAACGTTGATAAGCCATATAATCGAAATACTGGCAATCAAGAATCATAACCATCAAAATAAGTCAGAAAACATAATGCATGAGTCACTAAAACTAGAAATTTAATTTTAATTAATAGTTAGTACAATGCAAAACTGGCCAACTAGATATTTAGGAACGTTGATACGATAAGCTTTGGTTCTAAATAGCCACCATTGTAGATATCATAAACTCCAAAAACGAAAATTCGTGAAAACAATTAAGATCAAACATTGAACTACGAAATTAACTGCGATAATCAATTAACTGAAACAAAAGTGAGATTTTTGGATGTACCTTGAACTGAAAGCATCGAAAGAAAGCCGCCTCGAGCACCATTATCAGCCTGAACTCATTAAAACATCAACGAAAAAGCAAGAAGTTGATATGAAGAATCACAGAATTCAGAAATTGAGAAGATGAAGGAATCAGGAAGAAATGAATTTGGAACCTGTTGAGGAGGGTAATTGAGAATGTATGGCCTCGAAGCGTGACGACGGGTCTCGTAGAGAACTGGTTCAGATGCTGGTTCCTCCATTGCCAATGCTTCAGTGCGATCCTCTCAAAACCCTAGTTTCTAAATTGCGATTCCGATTTGATTTCCATAGACAGAAAGAGAGATTGCTTCAGAGGAAGAGACCTCGACAGTCTCTCTCTCTCTTCTTTTTTTGTGTGTGTGTGTGTGTGTGTGTGTGTGTGTGTGTGTGTGTTTTCCGTCAATTTTCTGTTGGCCGTTCAACAGGTTTGAACTTGGACTGAACTTGGAAATGAAACCGGCCCAAATAATGATCGGGCTGCACTCATTGAGCCCATTTTAGGGTAGTATTCAGTACTTGTAAGGCCCGAAACGTTGGACAGGAAAAAGGAATAATAACACAACTCTTTGTCGTTTTTAATTTCTTTATCACGTTCATATTTTATTGTCGTTGCCTTGTTCAGTATTGTTTCTTTTTAGGCTTCGTTTCTAACTTTGTTGTCCTTTTCCAGTCATATTCCTGTTTGAATCGTTTCTGCCGTTTTGAAATATATCTTATCCTTTTCCATCTTTTACTGTCGTTTTGATTTTTGATTTCGCTCATGTGTTGTTAGAACTTGAGCTTTTATTGTCGTTTTTGGTTGCGTGGTAGTTCCAGTCTTTTATTGTCTCTTTTCTGTCTATAATTTTTTTCTTTTTTTGTATCTTTCTTTTTTCGTTGTTGCTGTCTGTATTTATCTCATTTCTATATGTATTTTCTCATTTTTTGCCTCCTTTTCTAATTCTCTAATTCTTTTGTTATCATTGTTTCCATTGGTCCAGCTTAGTTGTCGTTTATCTTCGGTTTTTCTTTTCCACTTATGTTGTCTTTTGATTTTTTTGTCCTTTCATCTTTTGTCGTCGTATAACTACTAATTGTCGTTTTCCTAGTTCAATGGTTTCCCATTTCCATGTCGTTCATTCATTTTGTTGTCGCTTTCTATACTTGTCTTATTCGTTTTTATTGTTTTTCTCGTTTGTCGTCTATATTTAATTTTCTTCTCTCTTATTATATAGTTATGTTGTCGTTTGATTTTCTTTTTTTTTTTGCCGTGTTTATTATTTTTTTCGTTCTAATCTTTGTCTTTTCCCCCCCTTCCCCTGGCTTCCCTCGTTCAATTTTTTTGTTGTTGTTTTTTTTTTTTTTTTTTTTTTTTTTGCTTTCCTCGCCTTGCTTTGGATGTATATCTCTTTCCGTTATCTCTTCATCTCAGAAATTGTAATAGCTTTTCGTTTCCATTTATTCTGCGCCAATAATTCTTTGCAAGTCAACTACCTCGTGACAAGAAATTAAAGACTTGTTCCTATCGTGCCAGATGTTCTCCTAATCTCTATGCAATTGCAAGTGTCTACAGTCAACTAGCATATTCTTCAGTTAATTATATAAAGCCTTTATCGGAATATTGTGAAGTTGAGAATTTTGTTATATATTTTGTTGACAGCAAAAATTTGTCAACACAGATGAGTCTTTGGTGCTAATATGTGGATTTAGAGTATAATCTAGAGCTAAAAAGAGAGAAAGAATACTAAAATTTATAGTGGTTCACCCAAATGTTAGGCAACGTTCACTGTATGAGTAATTTTCACCAATCGTTTTAAGAGAAATTACAATCTTCCAGAAAGAACCTTCTAGAGAGGTATTACAATGCTATTTTTTATGATCGAGGGGAGAAATATTGATATTAAGTGATTTTCTCTTAGAAGGGTCTCCCCCTCCTCTCTGCCTTTCCTCTTTATATATACAATCATATTTGTTTCCCACCCAGCTCCTTGGGCCGTACTCTGAGCCGGTCTTGCCACTCCTCGAAATAATACTCTCTGGTGACTGAGATATTGGTTGGTCTTTCACGTTCTCCACTAACTCTACATGTATTTAATGCTTGCCATATGTCTGAAAAGCTGTCACGCTGTGCGAACGTGGGTGTGGTCGGCACCTTGGTACTCCTGAGGGGAGAATAAGGTCGACCGTATGATGCATTCCCTGATGCGATCATCCTCTTTTGGGTTTTATCTCATATTTACGGTCGGCGTCTAGAGTTAGTGTTTCTAAGAAGATACAATCCCTTACGATCTACTGACCCAACTATTTAATACTTGTAATGCCACGTGGCAACTATCTAACGGCTGACGTGAAGTGTTGAATTTTTTCATATAATATATTCTTAATTGTGATAGCAAGAATCAATATTACCAAATATATGCATTTATCTATGATCCTCCATCTGTTTTTTTTTTTTCCTCGACATTTATAACGAAATTTCCCCATTGGATTAATTAATTAAATCCATTCATACATGTTTGATTTTCTCAAACAAAAAAAATAAAAGTGCTTCTCAATGTGTAAGGGAGAAAACAGACTAGCATAAAGTCTCCTAACACATATTATATACGTCTATTAACACCTGCGAACGAAGCCATGGCGAGAGCAGCTCTCGCTCTTGAGCTATGGATCTGTTTCTCTCTCATCCTCTTCTTCCATGAAAATAAATAAAATTAAAATTAAAAAGTCATTTTTCTAATTTTACTTTTTTCACTTGGTTATTTCAACCAAATTCTCCTTTTGAACAATGAAAGCACTAAAACCCCACCACTCACTCCTTTGGATGACAGCTAGTGATGATTCTCGGACATATGTACAAATAAATATTGAAATAATATCATGGATATGATTCATATGAATTTTACTTTAGTAGTAGATTAATTAGAATATTTAACGGAAGGACAATCTCTGTGCATTATTGGAATCAACGCTACTCTAAAATTGATATTAAATTACATAATTTGAAGGAAAGTAAAAGTAAGCATTAGTTATACTCTACCAATTGAACAAAGTTCCACCAATAGGAACATCAAAGATATATGCGACCACTGGGAAATTTTTCCATTCTAATATGATAAGAGCTACTTTTTCCAAGAATATTGCTTACATTTGTATGCGCACGTGCCAGAAATTTTTCAGGAGAGTGATTTAATATAATAATTTTCACTTTATATTTCAGAGTTCCTTTTTTCTTTTTAAGCAATTGAAATCATATCATGGGTGAGTAATAAATTCTAAACAAAACTGGGTTATTTATAAGTTGTTCTACTTTTGAATTTCCCATTAAGGAAGAGAAGATTCTACTTTTCCATCAGATTCAATGGCTTAGAGTTATTTTGCAGTTTAATATACGAATGGATGATAGTTATAGAATTTTTGCTTACACTTAAAAAGACTTCCTTAATTGACTCAACGAGCGTAGAAACATGGACAGATCATTTTTAATAGCATTCTTTAGGGCATTATCATATATTATATTATGACAACATGATAATTTGGCCTAATATCATTAGACAATAATAAGCTTTTTTTCTTCTTCTTAGTTCATAGTATTTAGACTTTTGATATTTATCACTGTTTCTATATCGGTACCAAACAAAAGTTTTTTAAAACTATCGATCCATTTAACATTCTGGTAGTGAGTGACAAGTAATAACACTATGAAAAATATGTTTATTTCTAAGGTAACTTTTATGAAAATATATTTGTTTTTTTAGGAACTTCTATAGTCGAAGATATATGTTTTGCATATTCTTAAAGGCAAATCACATTATTATTCTGAAAGTATTAAAATCTAATAGAACTCAATAAAGATCTATAATGCATGGTCTATAACTGCACAATTAATATCTAGTAGGATATGTTTTTGCAGCATCCCAAATTCTAAACATTTTTGGTATAGAAAACAATGACATATGTTATTCTATTGGGAGATCCTAATTTTTACAGGAAGTCCCCTGAAATTTAATAAGAAATAGAAAAGTGTTCAACAAAAAAATACTTGTGTGTAACAAATGCACGCTCTTAAAGCTCGTTTAGTTCGTTGATTCGAATTTTTAATTCGAGTTAATATGTAACTTTATGTGAGAGCTTTTTATTATATCAAAATTTGAATTCTAAACTCGAATCAGTAAAATAAACAGGCCTCTAGTGTACACCGTTAGACTGATCGACCGCACACGTACGTGTGTGAGGGTGTTTAAGGCACTTTCAAAGGTAAGCTTCGCACAAATTTAACTATTAAAAATACCCATTAAGTTTTTTGGGGTTATAGATGATATTTCTTCTATACTTTTGCAGTTTTTTTCATTTTCATTTTTTATTTTTTTATTTTTGGAAAGACAATAAAAGGGAACAGTAGTGGGATTCTTATATAATTTTCCTTTTTTTAATAAAAAAAGATAAGAAGGCCTCTAAAAAAAAAGAAAAAAGAAAAAAGAGATAAGAAGGATTCTTAAACAATCTCGATCGTGAGAATTATTCCTTTCTTATCCTTAGTACTAGTCTTCTTTAATTAGTAATTATGTGAAAACCGTCCGTCCACAGTTTTGAGACCTCGTTGTCTTACTTCTATATGTAGGAAGGAAATTAGTTATAGCTCTCCAACCCACCTCAAACTCAGCTGTATATATGCAGAGTCAACAAACAAAGCTCCCGAATGTATGCAAAAAAGTTGCTGATCATCAATGGTAATATTTCTGCCTGCAGAAGTAAACAGGGCGTGATATTGATTCGGCTCATACTCCAATCTTTGCTTACAAATTGAATTAAGCCTCTGACAAGAGAACGAGCCGAATCAATATCACTCTTGTATGCTTTTTGCATATTCATATACACAATATGCATATATATGTATGTATATATATATATATATATATATATCTATATATATGTAGTTATATTTCGTACATAACTATATCATGTTCTTCTGTACTTTCTGTTTTTTCCTCAACCGTTGCATGTTTTTCCATAACATAACCATACATACTGTAAGTACATACGCAGAATAAATATGGTACTATTGATCATCAAATTTAATTTCCTGCAGAAATTATGGTCTAAGAATCCGTGTGTTTGTGTTTATATATGAGCATGTATGTATTTATATATGCGTATGTTACATATATATATATATATATATATATTCTAAGCATTTCCCAAAATGAGTTTTATGGAGTTAGGTGAATTCAATATTAGCCGCCTATCGGCATTCTAGCCTCTCTTCTCTTTTAATGGCTTATACGAAAGAGAATCCAATACTTCTTGATCCTGAACATCTCAACCAAGAACTGCTCCGAGGATATCTTTGCTTCGGACTACAAGCCTTTGG